TTGCATATTTCTTCGTATTTTTATCTAATTAATTACGGGGCTGGCCAAAATTTTGGGTCCAAAACAGGAAATAATAAGAATTAGTGAAATCGGCTCGTGCAAATCGAGTCTCTGAGTCATAAGCATCACATTTGTGCAGTTTCCGAAAGTTTCCGGCACTCTTCGGACTCTGCATAATTGGACTAAAATAGTTACCGTGTTTGATTGTCCGCAACTGTAGGACCTGTAGGACACGGTGTGAAAGTATTCTTGGCTGCACGATAGCTCTATCTTGGCATACCATTTTCCGGTGCAATTCGTATGAAATGAGGCTCGGAAGGCAATATATTATTAATCAGGGTACGTAGAACATTGCAGTCAATAGTTATCATACAATATAGTGGCATAAAGTATCACAGCGGTGGAGCGCTAGAAACGACAGGGTGTCTAAGATGCGTAAGTATAGCTCGCAATCAATGTCTTCCGCCCGTGACTCATGAGCAGAATGGACTCTCTGTATGCACTCCTCCCCTCCCACCTGTACTAGTAACCATGTACAGCAGCACCAACAATTAGTAGTACTACAATAAATGCAAGACAGGGTGCACCTTTGTCAACGGTAGTACCTCCACTGGCAAAAGTGGTGTCCAGGTCGGCAATGCAGTCCTTGAGGTCATGGATGCAGACCCTCCCAACCTGTGTGCATATCGAAGATCCTACTAGAGGGACAGGCACCGATAGTTTGTGAAGCAGATGTCGAACGTGCAATCCCAGCGGGGCCAGAGGGAAGTAGGCAGTGCAGAGAGCAAAACAGTGAGACACCATATGAAGTCTCCAGGCAGATTTAGGGCTGGAGGATAAAGACTTTGAACTTCTGGGCATAGTAGAGAGACGGATAGCGTCGAAGCATTGATGTTCTGAAGATAGGAGCGTGTAGGAGCGCGTAGTTCTGTAGTATCTTGTAGCTCGGCTAGGAAACACTTGAATGTTCTTGCAGACGGAACGCGGCTTCGCCGAGTCGCCGAAAGATTCATGAGATCTAAATTCCTCCCGACTCCTACATAGCGGTCGGTTTGCTACGCAGTCCTACACAGAGCTATGTAGGCAAGCAGATCTACTGAGACCTATGTAGAAGAGGCAGTCCTACAGTAAGAAATTCACTTTTGCAGATGCAGATGATCAGAGAACTGCAGGGGACTCTTGTTGTCACATATTTGTTGTTGCTCCAGCCGCAGGTATAAGGTGGTTAGTTCTGCGAAAGAGTAGTCGTCCGGTCGCTTCATGGTAAATGACGAAGGAAGTTGCAGATTGAAGTCGGAGGCAGGTCTTCCGGTGATCGTTTCCCACGGACCTTGTTCTACACCAATTTGTATATCTGCGATGCGCGATGGGTTCTGAACACAACTTCCAGAATAATAACACATACCCCAAGTTCGTTCAATAAAGTAGGTGAGATGTATGCTGAAGTCTTCGAATGCCCACGCCTTTTTGTGCTGCGGGAGAAGTAGATTTTCAGAATCGTCGCTTTTCCACTCCGTCAACAAATCTGAGCTGTGTGTAAGTTGCGAACAAATGAGACTGAGAAAATCCGTACGATATTGGCTTCTAAGGTATGCCAAGAAATTATCATCAAAGCTTTGCAACCGTTCTGGAGCTGTCTTGCGCGTGAACGATCGGTATTTGACGCCCCTCGCACATGGTACATCAATTCTGAAAGGCAACAATATAAGTCCCTAACAGGATAGAAACAACATCAACTTACTCCAGCGATCGCAAAGAATCGTCGGGACCGTATGGGCCTCCCATGCGTAGGTGTGCATTCCAGCCGGGAAGCTGATCTAACCAGCAATTTATTTCCTTCGTGATCAAACTTCTCATTCCCGTGGAAACACTGAAGACATTGCTTTCATTATTGGCATTGGCGAGATATAAAAAATTACCTTTTGAAATTATTCATAGCCTTTGACAGGGGAGGAACTTCAACGACCTGTTCACACTGAGCATGGGCATCTTCCGTTCGGCGAGAGATTGCCTTCCCTTGTTCATCGACGTTACTCATCAAGTCGCTACCAGTTACATTTCGAGATATACCTTTGTTGACAACGGGCGCGCGATGATCTTTGAACTTATTTTCCTCTTCTTCATACCATAGGCAAAACATCTGGGAGCGAATAAGGATATGAAAACAGGCCCAACCATACATGAAAACATGCTCACCTCGAAGTCATCAGGATCAATGGATCCATGAAAATGCCACACGCAACCAGGTAGCACATCATTTAGCACAAATGATTGGCACGCCGCATCTCCGTCGCTATCGCGAAGAATCTTCAACAATGTCTCCACGAATTCCCGCAGAAAATCCACTTTTTCCCGCCCACGCATCTCGGAGCTGTAGGACTGTGTTGCAAAGCTGGCAGAGGGTACAAGGTAAGAGAAAGTGCCGGCCACTCAAAGAACAGATAACAACATCGGCAGCGCAGCGCCATCTCATGCTCGTGCGAGTGCTCTTGGCTCAGTGATCGATCTTCCGTGGGAGCGCCGGGACCAAATTCGAAAACAATAATTTTGTACAGAAGTAACGCAGAAAACGTGAGGAAAGCACGCGACGGTGATGCCACGCTGCGCAGCACGTTCCATGGAAAAAGCTGCCATAGACAGTTGGCGCGACGGTAATCAGATGCGAAGGGAGAGCGCAAGAAAGCACACCCCCTTGTTGGATATGTACTGTACCGAATATTCCTGGGCTCACGGTCCCGCGCTTCAGGACCAACCTGCGGAGTGGAGAATGAAGCAGATAGCTTCCATCGCGCTGTCCATCACCATCGCACGGATGTTCCTTACTTTGCCACGCAACCGCACTGCCTTTCACCTTGTCAGAGCGTCGACATTATTATAGTCACAGGCAGCGAAAAGCGACTCACGAGTTATGGTCGGTCATGTGTGCTCGGAGGGCCACTGAGTCATGCGAACTCCGCGTAAGTGAAGAGGGAAATACCACTACCTATAACGGTAAACGATGGAACCAGATAGTGTCATCGTTCACGTACCATGGGTGACGCATCGTAGGAACTTACTGGACGAACCCCTAAGCAAGCGCGGAGGAAAAGAGCACCACCCATGACAGTAAGCGATGGAATTAGCGAGCGTCGACGTTTACACATCGCAAAGGCTTTCTCACCTACGAAGGCCGACCGATGTCAAGGGAGAGAGCAACCAAAAGGGACACTGTACACCCACCGACCATTCCAGCCCATCAGAGCCTGTTGAACCAGAGAAAAAGAGATCTCGACCATTGCTTCCGATCAGATAGAGAACCTTCGCATGTGGACGTCAGTTAGACTCCATCATGGCTGTCGAGGAGCGCATAAATTCCAGAATATCCCTATGGGCGTCCTTCAGCGGTGATCACATCAAGTCCGACCTAGTGTAGTGATGTTCCCGCGCCGATGCGGCCTGCCAGTGAACCAGAATCAGCTGAGTGAGCCAACGTCCGAAGTCCAGCGAAGAAGCGGGTTCTACAAGATCTTGCCCGATTTGGAATGTATCCTTCTTCTACACCTTAAACCCGGTCTGAACCTCCGTTTGAAACGACATCAGAGCCATTTCCCAGGTCTGGAATTAATACCTTCTGGAGAATAGGCACTCGCCGGCGGACATCGGTTCTGAGCCTTCCAGGCGGTTGCAGACGAGTCTAGCGATGTCAGGCTGGACGGTGGCGACAAAGAATCGCTTGTTGACGGAATACTTGCGATTGAACTCTCATCTCTCACTGTACGTCCTCCCTGCTGCTTTGAGGAATTCGTTATCCTTGCGAGACTCGCGGGGAATACCCCCCGAGGTGTGCTGATCCTCCCACGTTTGAACTTTTCTCTGTTCCATTCGGAAGACGAGCGACAGCCCTTCTGACAAGGCAACAAAAATAATTGATTTGAATGGACTGAGATAGGGTATAACGTCTTGGGAAGAGGTATGACAATACTTCTGAGCGTGGAACAAGTATAAGAGAATTTAGTCTCGTCTTCAGGCGGACATGTCTTTCCAAATGGACACATCTCAACGGTCGCTTATGTAAGGACTCCTCTTTTCTCTTGCACTGCGGACGCTGATTTTCCTGATTCTGGAAACCATTTGAAGTTCCATCAGGAAGGGCTTCTGATGACAGTGGTTGCGGGCTCGAGTTTCTTTTTGGAGACTTCTCACCCAATCTTTGCTCCTTTCGTAAGTCTTCGTGAAGGGTCACACACAGCCTTTGGTAGTGCCGTCCTTCTGACTAGCTTACTTCCCACAGTGCGGAATGCGTACCTGGGACGAACCACGCACAGCAGGAACTCTGCCTTTTTCGGAATTGCGAATTATCGTCTTTTTTGCGCGCAATGTTTCCAAACCTCCACCAGCTGATATGATTGGTTAATGCTATCGCATCCAGCCCCACTTTTATTCTCTGATTCGTGCGATTCGGCGTCACGTTTGACATTATTGGTTCCTCGGTGCGTCCACTGGCAAGTCCGGCGAATACTCGTATGTTGCACGTTCTTACCATTCCCTCAAACCTGTCTCTCAGTTCTTGTTGCAAAGCAATCCCCACTGAAATAGTCCTAGTCACTAGTCGTCGATGCCGCGTCGAGGTGGAGTAAATGCCGTTGCGACGGATACCCGCAAAGAAGCATTTCTCCAAAAGTACTTATCGTTGTTCTGGAGTGTAGTGGATACCGAAGGCAGAGGGGCCCCAAAACAATTCATACTAGACAATGTCTTGCCTAAGTGGGCGAAGGTGTTTGGCACACCTACAGATCCAGGATTCTCAGAGGTGTGGACGCTTCTCGTCATACCCGCCGTTAAGTTATTTTCTGATTGTTAGGAAGAAACTATACAAATGGTTTAGTAATAGGAACCGGAGGAAAGCTCGTCAACACATAGGACGAGTGGAAGTGGTCAAGTTCAAGGTCTCCACGCGGAAGCCGAGGTCTACCCCGGCGAAGAGCGCATTTGCTTCAACATTCGAATTAGACGATCTTGCGATGCAGCGCCGGTTAGACTTAGGTCTTCCGTCGCAATCGTTCCTCAAGGTAAGGACAGAGATACTGGATGAACGGTGGAAAGCATTGCCTCCGGAAGAACACCCTAAATACAGCGAGAAGGCGAAACAAATCGACGAAGAGAAGGCGAAGCGACAAAGTCCTGCGTCGGCTGATGATTATGCAATGTGAGTGCGAGGATAATTGATGAATCTCTGGCCGTGAGATTAATATTTGGTTCATGTATATGCAGGCTGGCAAAGAAAATGAGTGCGGTCGTAAATACTTCTATCAAGGAGTGGCAGAAACACCTTCCTGGTTGGAGTGTCCACCTGAAGATGGGCGGCACGTTCGGGGTCAATGGAGGATTAAAGTCCTGGGAGTCAGTTATGTGGCTATCCATATCTATTGGCACGTAACACATCCTATTTTCTATCTCAGATTTGACGTACCGTGTTTCGGAGGAATAAAATATCGCCAGTTCACAGATGGAGATGGCACAGGTCGATGGAAGAAGTTCGATGACCACTTCATGTCATACCTCAAGCACCAACACCGTACGACCGATTGATACTTGACCTGCTTAACACTGATTTTAATCTAGGAATTTCTGAGGGTTGGACGAGCGACGATGCGGGAAATACGATGCTTCCCCCATACCAGAAGACGTGGACCTACGACGATTTCCTTCAGCGACTGCTTCTCTACTTCGAGCGGCACTGGGGTAAGTCTGTTCATGTCGTCGACGAATCAGCTCCCCGTTGGTTGATGACACCCTTATAGAGCACCAGACCAACACGACGACCATCCCCTGGGACAGTATCGTCGAGGATCCTTCTGCTTTCCTTGCGATAGACCTCCCAGCTGATTTCATTTTCAAACGCCCGAGCGATTATTCCTTCCCCGAACTGATCGAACTATACTCTCATCTTTCGGTCGCTGAACAAGAGTTACTCGAGGCCCCGGTAATATTTTCAAATGAAGCAGTGCGTTATACTCGGCGGAAAGGCAACGCAGTCAGTCGTACCAGCGGTGAGCGAATTATTCAATAGATCTGTTCCGTATGTTGCGCTGACTAAGCTCAGATAACCTAAATACGCCGACCACTTCGCCCACATATTCTTATCGCCGACAATCGGATTCGCGTTCTTCCGATACGAGGAAGGTGCGGTCATTCAGGGCGCATACGGAGGGCAAGTAGTTCCTTCCTTCACATCTGTTGCCGAAGGACGCTAAATCCTGGATCGTTGACCACTAGTGAACACCGGCCGTTCGCTGGGACCTTGGACCCAGGGAAAGCGCCTCCGTAGAGTTGAAACTAGTGGTAAGCACAGAGATCATATTGTCTTTGACAGCGCTGACGTCATTCTGTTTCCGAAGATGAGTCTGAATCTGATACCGAAGCATTGGAGGTCAAGGCGAGGAACGAAGAACCAGGACGATCAGAGGGTAAGCGACATTGTTTCAACAAGAGTTACTCGAGGCCCCGGTAATATTTTTCAAATGAAGCAGTGCGTTATACTCAGCGGAAAGGCAACGCAGTCAGTCGTACCAGCGGTGAGCGAATTATTCAATAGATCTGTTCCGTATGTTGCGCTGACTAAGCTCAGATAACCTACATACGCCGACCACTTCGCCCACATATTCTCATCGCCGACAATCGGATTCGCATTCATTCGTGGTGCGTACGCAGGGCAAGTAGTTCCTTCATTCATATCTGTCGCCCAAGCATGCTAAATGAAGCCCACTCTGGATTGCTGAATACTAGTTAATACTGGCCGTTCGCTGAGACCTTGGACCCAGGGAAAGCGCCTCCGTCGGATTGAAACTGGTGATAACCTCATAGATCATATTGTACTTTACAGTGCTGACTTCGTTCTGTTTCTGAAGATGAGTCTGAATCTGATACCGAAGCAGCATCGGAGGTCAAAGCGAGGAACGAAGAACCAGGACGATCAGAGGGTAAGCGACATTGTACCTTGCATCGGGTGTATATTGCAATCCGATTTTCAGCGGTGCCATCACGCACCCAAGCTCGACATGAAGACGACTCTTTTGCACACGTTGCACCTGCGTCAGTGATGCTGGATGGTATGTTTGCACGTCTATCTCACTGTTTCTGGATGACACGACGTTGCAGTTGATGACGACCTGGCAGAAGTTGGTAATGGATCCTACCAAGGTTCTGATTCGAGCGTCACTCATTTTGCTGATGCCGTGGATTTTCCCTATATGGGGATGGCAGAGTACTCAAAGCGTCTTGACGATGGGGGCTCCAACCGTTTGGCGACGATTGAAGCAGAATCTCAATCTGGTCGACACAGAACTCCTGACGATACTCTGCGAGTTGGTGACGCAGGTCATATAGTAGAGTCTTCTGTTGCTAGATCTTTTTTACAACAGTCCGACAGTGAAACATCCGCCAATCAGCGAAGTACATCGGAATCCCAGACGGGCATAATAGGTTCGAATCGCAAGGGAGGATATAGTGCGGTACCTTCCAAAGTCCACAGTGTCGAGGATGAAAGGTGTTCAAACAATTATCCATCAAGCTCTAGCACCTCCCGGCCTGTCACCCAAGAACAAGCACCAGCGAATGGTAGGCGCTCTGGGTGTCAACAACGTTGGCATTCAATCACTAAGCATGATATTTCCTCTCACTATCCACTTTCAGGTCCATCTTGTAAATGCTGTGATCCGTTCAAACCAGTTTGGGCTTCTGGTATCATAGCAGTGACTGGAGAAGACATAAAAGCAATGCTTCCTCTCGCTGACTGGTTGAAAGCTGTCGTCGCGAGTGTTCGTAACATGGATGTACCTTCCAATTGCGGTGCATTCTTGACGTTGGTAAGAAGCACTATTAAGTTGAATCAGTATCTGCCAGTGAGAAATCCTTCCGAATCTCACTGAAACCAGAGCTTTGACATGTTCATGCACATTATTTAGCCAGGAATGTTGTCGTCTGAGGCCCTACCGGAAATGGCCAACGAATGGGTGTCGAAAGCGCAGACATATCGCACTGCGCACAAAAAAACACCTGCGGGCTTTCGTCAGCAGTGGGTGAGGTGGTGGCTCAGTTTGCAGCCCAAGTCGCGTCGAGTGCAGGGCTCTCCTGGGAATATAGATCTACCTCACCCGGCTGAACTACACTCTACCCGTTGGACCGAACTCCTCAAGGGTGGACCAAATGGTATCATGTTGATCACGCGTTCGCTGGGTTTTTGCTTTCCTGCTCGCGTCAGTGACTCTGGAATGTCAGTGGCTCAGTGGCATAGATGGATCTATGATGTTAGTTGGGTATTCAGCCAAATACTCCAGAGGTAATGTCAATGCTATAGATGCTGATGTTATCCTCATATATGCTTCTGATAGAACCACATCATCGTCATTACCTGCAGCATCAACTTCACTTACATTGTCGCTCTCTCCCAATGCAACATCGTCTCAAAACCAATCTTCGCGGTCGCGGGTCACTTCATTATCTGAGCCTGTTGCAAATATTGCGTCATCTCCTGTTACTTTACCGCCTTCAGGTGCCATGGAAATTTCTTTGTCACCAACTCAATCAGTACCCTTACCTGTTGGCATTATTTCATCGCCTCCGACAGCTTCGCCATCTCCTATGGAGGATACTCAGCGAACAGGAGTCTCCCTTGATACTGGTGTGAAGGGCAACAAACCGAAGGAAACGCGACGCTCTAGGCAGGCCCTGAACAAACCAACAACCGCTGCAAACACTAGATATTCGTAAGTCCCTTGAGACTTTGCTTATCTGCAACTTACGTACACGCTTCATACAAGCATGCGTGAAGTGCTGGATAAACGCCATATCAACATTCGAGCAGCTGAAGCGAACAAAAAAAGGTGAGTATCCTCAATGATTTTCAAAAACATCAATTTATGCTTCTGGACAGAAACGGGTTGGATTATATATCACCCCAGACTAAGGAAGAGGAATTAAAGAGGGAGAAGAATAGAAAGCGTCGCTGAGGCTGACGATCCCTGGTACAACAATTGCTGGTAGTGGACACTTCTTTTATTGTTGTCGACCATGGAGCTGCGGTTGCACTCTACAATATTGTTCCTACTACTCTATGCCTCCGACTCCATTGATCAGTGGATCTTTGCATTTGGGCTAGCTTATCATTCCTCTCTGCTTGGTTGTCCGTCATACCTATCGTATAAGTCATATGCAACGAAACGTCCTCGATCCCCAGCCAGGATAACCAAGTCTCGACTTCAAAACTTCATGATTACGATCCAAGTGTGAGAGTCCGCTGCATCATTTCACATATGTGTCCCTCCGAAATGTCACAAATGCCCACAATAATAGAGCGTTTTCCACTCGAAGATGTTACCCTATTGCGGCAGCCGCCGGTGAGATGTGACACGGCCGGGTTCTCGGCAGCCTCTGAGGCGGAGCCTCTCGACGTGTTGGTCTCCTTGTCCTCTCCTCGTCGCCCATATGGTCGCTGTGATGCGAATGCCTGCTAGAAGTACGTCGCGTGGAACAGCCGCCCGCACAGCTGCGCTGGCCGTGATGCCGATGTCGACTGGTTGTGCGTTGTGCGTAACGCGGCTTATACGAGGTGCGCGACAGCCATACTCACCAAGAAGGCAAAATCCATTAGCCTGTCCGCTACCTTCGTCGTCTCGACCGTACCTTTGAGCTCGCTGAGTTGTGAATCTCAACGGCAGGTTTGACACCCAAGCGACCACCGTATCACCAACCGTTCGCACATGTATAAGCATGGTGAGTCCATGTTTCGATTTGTCGCGTACTGAGGCGTTATCCCTGAGACGAAACTTCCAGAGCGTGTCTTAATTACTCCTTTCATCCCCTGCTCGTGGTAACTCTATCTTGCGTTTAAGCACCTCACTGTCGCGCTTTGAGAGACTCTACTGTGCTGACCGAAGACCTTTGAAGCTGTTATCATCCTGCTCTTGGAGGGCATGTGTTTCAGCATTTGCCCTTGAGGTTCAGATGCATTCGCATCGATTTTCAAGCTATTGGCGCGTTTATCGCCACTTCTCTGGAGTGCAACGGGTTGCTGTTGGCCTCATTCTGCAACTCGTCTTGCTTGCCTCCACACCGTGACCCTGCAACCAGGCGCTGAGCCCCCCCCACGGTGACGGCTACGGAATCAAGACGACGACGCCCGTGATGCCCACCTAGTACTCATGAAGGCCAGGGTCCTCCTTATCTCGCGAACCGATCGCCATGCGGAATCCATGCCCCATGATGACAATTACTGTGCGGACGACACCGCTAGGTACGGCTCGTCGAGGCGGTGCAAGTACCTTGGGGTACATGCGTGGCTCACGGCGAAGCACGGAAGTGGTTCAATCCTTGAGGGAATGATCACATGTGAGGCAACACGGAGGCAGAGATTGAACAGTGTCTTGTATTTAAATGCCTTCCAGCAGTCCCACCCTCATCCCCCACCTCTCGCACAAACACTATACGCTACCATGAATACCGACCAGGACAATGGAATGTCCAAGTTGCATACTTACCAGTTAGTTCTCCTTGATCTCGCAGTATCTGCGCACACCGAGACCAACGTCTCTCCACCTGCTCAGTCCGGCACGGTGATCAAGTACTCTGAGTCGTCCCAGCGTAATATTGTCCCCCCGGATCCTACCGTATCTTCCTCTGCAGCCACATCCTCCTGGTACTCTTCCCAGCAGTGATGGTTCCGGAGCCACCAGCTCCACATTGTCAGCCCTGAGCCTGTCTCCCCTGCCCGACCCACCCCTGCGGCTATCAGCCACTCCATATACCACCCCAGCCCCTGCTCTCCCTCCCCGACTCATGAAGTCAAGTGCGAACGCTCTGATGCTGACTCTTTCATCTTTGAGCTCGCACCACCATCCCCGCCTCCACCAATATCCAATCACTCCCCGCTTGCAGAGGTCCCCCTCCGAGCCACCGGTGCGTGCTCCGCCATGCGCAAGATGATGAGCGTCTTCCGCCTCGATCCCTTCGCCGTGCACAATGGCCATGGGGCTGCCGTCGCTGCCTTGCCCCTCATGGAGGTCGGGCCCCTCACCGAGGAGCCCGTAATAGTCGAAATTTCAGGTCCACCTCGAGTACTCCCTGGTCCCCCAGAGCCCGGAGCCCGAGGACAACCACCAGTACGCCAGCCATCACATTTATAGGTATTATCAGTACCCTCCAGGGCACCTCTCGTCATCTCCCGCGCCAAGCATCTATGCGGGCACATACGACGCGCTCGGCGATGAGAGCCAGTGGCTGTTCAGAGACTGGGACCTCGAGTATCGCTCCGGTCCCGTGGATGAGCCCTCCTCATCTTTCGCATCCATCATGACCCCGGTGCAGAGCCTCTACTGGGGTATGCAGCACGGCATGGAAGCTAACATCCCGTTTCCAACTACGAGGTGCGCACTTTAATTATCCCCTACCAATGTGGTGGACAGGTAACATTTCTTCGAACAGTTTCCTGGGGGTCGCAGCCGAACATTCCTAGCAAGCATCAGCAGCAGCAGCAGCAATAATAACAACAGCATTGGCAGGGCCATGAGTATGAGCTGCAGGCTGTCTCACCCTCGCAGCACTTATTCGTACCCCCCACGCGCCATTTGCACAAGTACCGCCAGCCCCTGCAGCCCACGTTCTCTCCACCCGCATTATACAATAGCATGTACTCGCTAGCATCAGCGCTCGATGTGCTGGACGGGTTCCCTGCCTCTACGGAGTACCCACTACGGGCTCAGGGCTCGGTGTTGAATGCTGAGAGACCGTAATTGCACCATTCTCTTTCAGCGGACCCAGTCGACACAGTGGACAGAGGCCACACAAGTGGTGGCACTTGGTACTGACAGGGGATGGGTGTACCTGGAGGCATTGCCCGGGATTGTGCTTAGTCCGATGGTGACATTCTCGTGCCTCACTCGGAGAGACAACGAGCATGGGAGGAGTTGTGGTGGACTTGGGGACGATGATACCATTACTAAATGATAGACCAGTCTTCCTCAATTGTACGAGCGGTGGGGGACAAAATCGTAAAGAAGACGTGGGTGTTATTCACCTAGCCTGCAAACATCGTCAAGCGATACATTTCCTGGTCGACAAGTTCCATCTCTTCCCTCCAAGCACCAGAAGGCTCTCTCTGTACCGCCTGAAGCATACAGGAATGAGGTCACTAAAGGAGCAAAGTATTGATGAACATACCGGGCGCAGCACCAGCGGGATCCCCATAGCAGTGTTTGCTATACCTAGCAAAACATCGGGATGCAACGAAGGCTGCGGAAGTAGATGTTCAGAACGCTCCAGCGAGCATTGCCAGGCATGGACTTACTGATCTCACAACAAGAGCATCACAAGAGCCCATGTGTGAGGGAGGCGCGGATATGTTCCGAGCTTGCTCACGGAACAGAGCGAGCTGACGTCTGATGAATAATTAATCGACAGTCTGAATTGATAGCAAAAAATTGCTCTTGGGAGACTTACTGTAACCCAGTAGGTTGCACTGCAGAGTGCGAGCACATTTTGATACAAAGCCTGAATGTGAATCCATGACCTGCTTGAAGCAAGGTAAGCTTTAGCATTGCGAAATTTCCGGCAGCTGCAGTAGGAACTGCGGAGTACATTAAGCGGCAAGCTATTAGTTTATATTGTGTACAAACGCATTGTACTTACCGTCAGCACATTTCAAATTGGATAAAATATGTGGCTTGTGCTCGTAATGAGTGGTCCACAGCAATATCGACATGCGTGGCCACGTCGGGATGGATGATACTCCCTGCAGGCGAACTCTCAGCAATTCAGCTTTGCGGGAATGTACATCAGTTCGAAGAATTGGAGTGACAACCTACAAAGAGGACGAACCTAACTCGTGTAGCTTTTCCCAATGCTTGGGTTTGTCTCCTGCCCAGTTTCGTTCTGCCCATTCGGCATCTCTCCACAGGCGGTCGCTAGCGACGTTGAAAAGACAGCTACGACCTATGGTAATCCAGCGGTGTTCGATTTGGTCTGGCGTATCACCCAAAGGAACGAGCTTGGAGTGAACTGCAGAATTTACGGCCGCCCAGAGGGGCGCAACCAGCTCACCATTCCAAGACTGGACGTAAAACTGAGGCGTCACGGAAGCACGGCTGTACTCCTCCTCGTCCTTAGATAGAACGCGGCGCACCAAATGCCAACATACGCCAGCATTTGCATAGCATGACCTTGGCTTGAAATACGATAGCTGTGTCATCGTACGCAAGGGTGTGTGTCCGCAAAGCCTGGATATTAACGACCTATATTTTCGGTAAGAGATGATTAGCTCTAAAAGGATATCAGATGAGGCACCTTCTAGACGACTGTCCTGCAACTCGTAGGGGGGCGATTGAAGCGCTACTAGTAGGTCGATGTGGCCTGGCTTTACAGTGGATAAACTCAATTATAGGGTCGAACAAACCCTTTAGAGCAAGTGCAGAGATAGAAGTACCGGTCGCTTCGGTAACTGCTATCAATCCTGATAAGACCTGACGCGGAGGGTCTGACGCCGTGACACGCGCTGTGCTGGCAGGAGCTACAGCGGGTAGAGCGTTACGTACCCAAGAATACAAAGTCCACACGACGGTCTCACGACCCTCCCCATCAAAAGGATCGATGCTCGGACCGGCTGGATCGGAGACTTCCATTTGCATTATCTCGGACGAGTCAGTGTTCACATCGCAACACGTTTCGCCTATCTCCCAAGAGTGCCCACTGCCTAGAAGTCTGGACATGTGAATGTGACGAAAAGGCTGAGACTGAACCCTTAATCGAGGCCTCTGGTTCCGTCAATGGGCCCAAACTGTGACTCGTGAGCCAGAAGATCCCAGACGTATTGCGCAACGGTGTCGGAACGGTCTCAACACACTCCGCGAGAAACACCGAGCCCCGGAGTTAGAGTACGCCTTAGCAGTCTCCTATCATACCATAGTCTCAATCATTGTGAAGATCGGTGCCATACTTCGCGATCGTCGCGCTGCTCTGCCGATTGTACTATTTGTTCGCGACCGATCGGACCTTGATCCATGCTACAGTCACGGGAAACATGAACGGCTACAAAGCTGTGAGTGATACGAACTCTTGGTTCGCCGATACCAGCTCGTTGATCGTCGTTTGGTCAAGTGGGGGAAGTTCCTCCGAGCTTATCCTCAACCTTGTGAATTTAAATAGACCTTACTGGGCACTCTTCGGTAGTGTTAAAACTAATGAAGTGAGATAATGTGGAAAACGCGGCATATCCGAATCGTCATGTAACAAACCCATCGAAAGGTGCGTGCTTGGAGCCGAGAGGAGGTATGCGAACGTAGCATCTACTAAGAGCGGCATTGTGCGAAGATGCTGTGACTGGTGGGAAGAAAAAGACGGCGGAGCGCGGAAATAATCTGCAGGATGGTTATGTTAATTGTTCCTAGACCACGTGAAGAAGCAAACAATAGTGGAGACTCGTCTGTCGGGACTGATCTGGTCATAAGGCGCAGCTGAGCTGCAACGAAAAACCCCTTGGCAGCACGCGATATCACACTCGGGGAGAGAGTGGGTTGAGATTATCACGCACCGCAGTAGTCCCGAAGGCAGGCCATTCAATTAGATGTGCAGATCTGAGCACGTACTACATACTCACGAGTAGTTAGCCCTGCGAAAATGAACCCGCAATCTATACATCGTATGGTCCGACTGCTAGCTTTTTCGTACACCTCGGGAGACGGTCTTAAGGTGGAAAGGAGGTGGCCAATCATTGCATAACCGCAGAACATACTCGTCCCCCCGTCAGGAATTCTGACGGAGAAGCAGAGTCCACACTCGAAGATGCGATTATCTGGAGCCAATTACTGCAAAAACAGGTGCACCAGACGCCAGTCAATCAACGCGTAGAGTCGCGCAAACAGTGACTCACGAATATCCAGCGCTCAGCAGGTGATTCTCAGGGAGAGACATCTGGTACATCCTGCGAGAACGACTCACCGGTAAAAAGAACTCAGAATAGCGTTGATATTTGAATACTTACACTTTGGATGTACTTAGTAGGATGTCGGCGACTAATGATAATCAACGAGGTACCCGATTAATCATCACAGCTTAGCTGGAAGCGCCGACGCTGAGCACACGCGTGAGAACGGAGAGATTCCGCGATCTACCGCAGATCGAAAGAAGACCTCCGAAGGAATATCCTCTGCACCCCGTAATCATGACACTGCGTACGCCTGTGACCGCTTTGAATGATACTAAGCCAAAGATATCTCACCGGCGAAACATATCCTTTGTCTAGTCGCAGCCTCGAAAGTCTCATCTTGGTCGAGTCTAAATCTGTCGTGTATTCCGCCCGTCGCGTATCGAAATTTCGTTTAAATGCCAGCAGTCGGATTGTATCATTTTCGCAGAGAGAGAAAAAAAGAACTTCAAGTTTCCATCAACGAATCACTGTCAGCGTGATTGCATGTGGCCAGAAGTACGCTTCGCATATTTATCATCCGCCGTCTCTTTTTGCGGGATGTTTCTCTGTCGGTTTACTCAACAGAAGCCCCATTGTACGGGCGCTGGGGTCCTTCTTCCATATAAATACTTTGGAACTGCAGTGAGTGCCCCAGTCATCGAAGCGCCTCCTGTCCCTAATGGCTTCATATCCCTTCGACCCAATTTACAGACCATGTGACGACACTAACAGCAATGATCCTCATGGTTTCTTACCGTATCGCCGTCGCATTAAATCAACGCAAGGGCTACCCCTGGAATACAACAGGTTCGAGCACAGACTGAAGGTGTTTTCTTGGTATGTGACCTTCATTCTTCATTCGCTCAATCATGACACGTAGCGCTGGTGGTTCAGGCCAGTCGATGCCGATGGCCAGCGTGTCCCCCCTGAACGCTTTCAAGATTACCGCGCAACACATGAATTCAAGTACCCTGGCTGCTTATGTGCCTCTTTAGATACGGACGCAAATGCATTCACGGAAAGCATAGTGGCGATACACCGTTCAGACACTGATAGCAGTCTGTGGGTGGCCATGTGCTCCCGAGGCATCTGCGGATACTGGTGTATGTGTCTATCCTTTACCTGCTACCCATTTCTAACGTTGTACTCAGTATGGCTGGAACAGTATTATATTAAAGGAGATATTCCTGTTCGGCAATATGCTCTCAGCAGTGAGTATGGCATATCTAGCGTTGATTTTTCTTGATCGTAATATGTACAGGCACCAAGAGATCCGAGACACTTCTTCCTAAAGTGATGCAATTCAGTGCTGCTTGGCCCAATACTCCCCCTAAACCTACTCCGGCACAGCCCAGTAGTAAGTAGCCTGCTGGGTCTTTTCATTTCTATTTTATGTGACGAGTTTTTCAGAACGCGCACCCTACAATTCGGCAGAATTGTCCCCATTGAATACTGGAAGGTCTAGCCAAAAGCGTCCCAGTAGGTTGTTCAGCATGGCTTCATCGAGAGAGGATCTGATGTCACGCTAGGCAGTAACAATGGTGATTGTAATGCCATTGGTCTTGCGAAGCTCTTGAAGCGCAGAGTGCGAGATTCAAGCGGTACATGTACTACTCTGCATACCTTTCCACAGTAGCCAATCTCTCACTTTCGGTGATTTACCAGCCACTGAGCCCGGGAACATTCCCCAAAATAATTCCCTTCAGCTTCCGATGGCGGCTATGCCTCAAGGCCCCCCTCCAGCCGATTTTCAGGATGACGAATACGTTTTCACGCGTTTGATGAAGCTCAATGATATGAAAGAGCCGGGATTACCTATAAAAGAATTTCGGCGTCTTTTCGTGAAGTGCCCATGCTCAATGGTGATGACAACTTCAGCATACCGATGGCACCATTGCAAATGGAATGGGGATGTTGTCGACCTCACGGATGATGCGGTTTAATGTCGTGCATGTATCGCAGTGTTTAACCATGAAAAGATGTGCCAGTGTACTGGTGAATACCATCCCCTCCATCATGTTCTCCTGTGCAGCCTTCCTCTCTGAAAGTTAAAGCAGTACATCGGTGAGTAGGATACTAAGTGAATAACATCTAGTGAGTCGAATCAGGGGCGAGGGAAACGCACCTTCAAAGAACTCCATGAGTTCCCCGAGTCTTCACGGTATTCTATTTCTTAAACCCAAATACCACCAATAGACATCAGGAAGGTAGGATGCCTCTGCAAGATCCTGCCGCATAGGTCCTCAATTTGGATGTGTCGCATACTATGGGAGGCAGTGGGTTACGCACTTACTCGTCAGAATTCGGATGACGAAGAAAGTGAATTCTGCCGCGCATGCGTTGCAGACTCCACTGTTGGAATGTATAAGAAGGTTGGTTCTTGAGCGGATCGTCCTTGGCATGGTATCATTCTCTTTTGTTGCAGCGGTACCGCGGGACACCAAAGCCGTTGCAGACCCGCTGAAGTAATGCAGATTGCCAACCCGTGGGCATTGCGGTTTGCAGCTGCGATTCGAAGAAGATATACGTAATATATCATAGCTCTAAGATCTCATGTCACAGCTATCTCTCTCTCTCTCTCTCTTCATTAGTATAGCGTCTCTGCTTATGCGCCTGGTAGACGGTTTGGCCAGCAGTTCACACATTCAGTCGCCCATCATTGCTTATAACCTCTCATGTATCCTTTTCTACCCTAGCAAAATTCCATCTTTTAATCTTCAGCTCTGAAATTTGAGAGCAAATTGCAGCGTAATAGTGATCTTGAATTTTGAACTCCATTATCCTTTCAAAAGCGCCGCGACAAACTGGTAGTCGGAGAACTCATACAGATTGCGAATGACAGCACCGAAAGTCGTACCATTTTACAAGTAGGGACTGCATGGGTGAATAAGTGCTTAGTGAATGACTAGACTAGATCATACATGCGACGTCGACCTACAGGGACGAAAGCTTCCGCCGCGGCATCTTCTAACTCCTCCTCGATGTGCAGGTTCTTCTGCTCATCCGGAGGACCATTAAATGTGAGTCAAGTCTTCAGACAAGAAATGTCTCTCAGCAGAATTTGGATACGTACTCGTCGCCATGATGGATAACAGGTGCGGAACCCAGAGCATCCAGACAACCTGCCAACAAATGTCTAAATCAGTTTCGCAAAAAAATGTAATAGTAATGAGTACACACCATTGTATATCTGGTGACAGCACGCAAGCAGGCGACCACTCTCGTTCATGAACACTGAAGGCGACGTCAACAGGAAGCGGATGCCTCGACAATATCGGTGGAGGTTGACATTCATCGCAGGCGGGACAGTCTCGTAGTCCACGTCGCCGAAGTAGAGCTGGGCGGCGCGAGCACAGGCCATGAACCTCGCACGCCCTCATCAGACTACATCTAGTCTACGATTCGAAGTCACACGGGCCCACTGCACCCCAAGAGTTTGTTCGCAAGCGTGACTTCTACTCTAGATCACTCCCAACAAGCACCGTCGGGTCTTCGAAACCTTAAGCGAGGCTCTATAAAGCGACTCAACATCAATGCTACAAACGAAGCAGGGGACTACCCAGTGATCTAGGGACGTACCAGGATGAGATGTAAGTAACACAATTAGCACAAACGTCAAATTAAAACCTACATACAACCATCACTCAACAGCCCAATTAAGTGTAGTAGCAGCATATATACTCACCAGTACTGCAGTATGACTACCGCGCGTCAGCACCCAAACAGACAAGCGAGGCAGCGCACACCCTCCTTCGCGATCGTGTTCTCCGCGACGAGATTGTGGACCTGGATCGACGTCGGCTTCTTGAAGGGGTCGTACAGCTAAACAGAGTGAGAAGACGGGAAGACGTCTATGTCAGAAGGGTGCGCAGACGGGCCTGAAATCAACGCAGCTACCATTCTTCCTGGGAGAAATCCAGCATGACTGGCTCGATATACTTCTCAAGCAAGTGGTGCAAGGGGAATCCCACCTGCAATGCAAGGGAGCTACAATGTCAGAAATGACGAGCCAAATCGTCATAAGACGTGGATCAGATCGGCGTCCTTCGTACGTCTGAGCAGGATGGCTCCGGCGCGAAGGTCATGCGGCTGTATGGAGCTAGGAACGACGGAACATACCTGAAGGGGTTGCATCCTTAAGCAGCACCTTCGCGATATATGCCCTATTCATCACTGAAAACCTCGGAGTCCGTAAAAGTGACAGAAGAGCACATCTGCAACGCAAAAGAAGTAGTACTTGTCACAGCTGTGACTGTACTATAGAGGAACGACTCCTTCTTCCTATATACTAGAGGCTGGTTAACGAATGACTGTAAGTAGTCTCCCAAAGGCAGTGTTCAGACAAGTGCGCAGTCGGGAAGCCAACAGGGTGCCCCAGAGCGTTGAGTGCTGACTCTGCAGTGAGCGCTGAGCATCGGCGAAGGCACTGGCAGGTCGCAAGCGCTTGTCGGCAATGGAAGGCGTTGTTATCGCTTATCAATTTCAGCTGCCGGTGTATAAGTACATTTCGAGCGCCGTCTAAATCGACGTCTAAATTGACCGACCCCTCTCGACTAATCCCCCGTGTCAGAAAGCAGACTAACTACTAGTAACTGTACGCGCCCATGGCTTGAAAGTTTGCAGTTGTCATCACGACCGCGATGTCTGTGCGTGAATTCTGCTGCGTCACCGATACGCATTATAACTTATAAGCTGTTCTGAGGTAATTTCTCACTGGCATGTAGTGCATGAAAGGAATTGACCTTGCTACAAGGTCCGAGACTTCCTGTCGCCGTACGTGGCGACAATGTAGTTATCTCCTCTCCTCGCGAGTTTCGACGGTGAGTCCTAATGGAAAATAATTGAGCTCTCTATATGCGCTTTTCGACGCAGCTGTCTGTGTACGCAGGTCACCTGGAGCACCTTAACCTACCGGAACATCATACAACGCGAGGAACACATATTTACAGTATCTCAAGGATACGTAGCAAGTCGGGCTTGGTAACGGAAGTTGGCAGATCATAGCTTCAATGGCAACGTGTGTATTTCATTTTTCCGTGCTATTTGCTGTACTGAATTTACTCGCCGTGGATCTTGGCTATATTAGAGCATCGGCACAACCAAGAATCAGCGCAAAATCACGCATCCACCGACTCGCGGGTAATGTATCTGATACGAAGTTCAAAAAAGGAGGGCTGCGCAACCGAGGCAAACTCGCTCGGTTGCTAGACATGCCATTGGACATATTGTTTGAGGCATGTCGAATTTTCGTCTCGGTCTTAATGGCGCGATAACATTACGGTTTTGTTCAGATTGCAATAAGTCTAGCCCCGCTCGATCTTTTGCATTTGGCGCGTGTGTCGAAGGAGCTCCGTCAGATATGTCTCGCAAGACAATCCCGGCATATGTGGATTGCTGCCATGCGGAACGTACCCGGTCTACCCGCCTGTCCGGCGCGCTTTATCAGCGAACCTCGGTACACAGCTCTTGTGTACGATCGCTTCTGTCTCGTACGTCCTCTTTCGCAGTCTCAGTCGATTCTGTTCTGAGACTAAGTACTTAGGCATGCGGTATCGGCCGTGCCGGCGGCGTGGAATATGGAATCGCCATGCGGTTCTGCGGGGCATGCCACAAGACAAAGTCTGTGTTGGTATTGTACTCCTTGTGCCAATTTACTAATATTTGCGCAGCGTTATCAAGGGTGCGGAGCTTGTGCGTTCCGAAAAAGTGACTGAAGATCTCGGAAAGATGATCTTCACGCTATTACCGCTAGTCGCTTGTAATCGCTGGGGTATGGCCATCAGCATCCACCGACTGCTTTCTGCCGTGCTTATACCACTTCAGAGTACTTGTGCAGTAATCGCAGTAGTCTCAAGAACTCTGGAAAAGGCGAGTATTATGAACCGGAGTTCAAGGCGATCGTAAAGCAGTACCTCGACATACAGCACAAGCCGACGGAGTTAGAGGAGTTTGTGAGCGGCCGCAGAGAATATGCTACTGCGATGATGCAGGCGAGTCATGCGTTCTACAGCTGGTTACACGATGAAAACTTATGTTGTTCTCATGCAGCTCTGCCACAAAGTCATGAAGTGGGAGGGCGCGGTCGATGACAAGAAGGCCGAGAAAGACAGCGAGACGCGCTGTATTAGATACCTCAGGTATGTAATAGCTTCCTTGCCTCGACAGGCCGAGAGATTGTCACTTTTACAGCATTGTGCAGAATTTGAAGGATTTGGGATATACCACGGCGGACTTCCCCGAAACTGACCAATGGTTGAACGTTCTCGACCAACCTCGGAAGCTTACTCCGCGCAGTGTGTGTCTCTCATTGTGTTACAGTCGCCACCTAACGTCTGAATTGACAGTCTGGGAGAACATCAAACCGAAATTGATCGCCCAGATCGAAGAGGAGAAGACTAACAGGCTTCGCATCGAATTTGAGAAGAACGTGGCGGCGCGATGTAAGGAGATCCACAAGTATTATTTAGAATACCTGGACAAGACGATGGCCGCTGAGGAGCAGAAGACGATGCCCAACCTAGCCACTTTTAGCCTTCTCCCCTCCGTTAAGGCTTTGACGACCCGCAACGACGCCTTGGTACCCCTCACAACTGAAGACTTCGAGACTATCGTTCCCGCGATGCTCACCGAGGCGCAAATGCACAAAATCAGAGTCCAGAAAGATCTTTTGGAGATGCTTTATCGTGACATGCTGCGGAATGGTCAGACGTCGAACGTCGGAGCAATAGGAAACATCTTCTGCGGGCCTTGCGATCCGGTGATGACACACGCCTGCGCGCTGTTCAGCTGCCACGACTACTGCCTCAACACACCGCTTCCTTACTTCGATATCCTTAACCACTTCCGGACAGCACATCCGACCGTTGTTTGGGATACGACGAACTGGGCGCCGGGCACTCAGCAGATAAGAGGCTGGCGGTGGGATCCTGCGTGGATAGGGGCGGCAGAGGGCATCACACAATTGGTCTCGAGTGCACTCCGAGTGCTCGGGTTGCGGCTAGATGCTTCGAGCACGGACCTGGACGAACTCGTCCGTGCAAGGAGACTGTGGTGCTCTTGCGGATATCCGCTTTTCCCTCTAACGGCGGAGTCGACGTGGTTTTCCCTGGTAAGCAGCTTGCCAACGGTGGCAGGATCAACACCGATAATCGTGTTGATTCTGTCAGATAACCCACGTCTATATGGAGCATCGCTGGTTCATTGACATGATCTCTCCAAAGTTCGTCGTCTTTCGCTGGGCGACGTTGCCTCGGCTGAGCTATTTTTAGAGCGGCCGGATTCATCTTTGACGATCACGCGACTCATGGCCAGAGCTCATGCACATGTCTGAAGCTGCTCCCCTACGGACAGACATTCAATACAATTTCCTCCACGTCATTCGACGAGAAGTCGGTAACAACGATCCAAAAGTTTCTCGATACCCGTATGAAGTGCCCCTCGTGCGCAATCTGTCGCAAATTCATGCCGCGGGGGAGGTATGGGGCCGACGTTCTGCCTCGCGATGCGGTAGCGATTGCGCATCACATGAGAACAAAGTACGCTTGAAATTATCTGCATATTTGGTAGGGCTGTAATCAGTCTTTCCTATAGGCATCACGTCGAGACTGTGACGAGGAAGGCTCATCTTCGGTGGTAGTCGTGTACGGAGATGGAGCCTCTAGATCTGGCATCCACTTCTATGTTTTGTGCTCATTGTACTATATGATCAGTTGTAGCGGCTCTTTTATTATTGTCTTCCTGCAGGTAATTAGAGGCTGTATCTATGAGCCTAATGGTCCTTTACCTTTTCCTTAGAGGAGACAACGGTCCCAACCTACAGCTGCATTGCTTCTAACTGGGACTCGGTTATTGCTACGCAATGATGGCTATGCTACGGCATTGTAGGGCATTGTGCACGATCGGCCCGTTGTGAAGGAGCTCAGACGACAAATGCTGTATGCTTAGGTAAGAGTTGATGGCTGTCATACGAATTTATGTCTTCAAAATTGAAGCCCCACTTCTGGAGACATGTTGAAAGGGACAAAAGAGAAAAAAAAAGCGGTCTCATTATGTAGGAGAAATCCTCCTGCAGAATGGTGTCGTAGTTAAACAGTCAAACAGTTTACGGTCATGGTCGGACAGTATCAGTAGCGGCATGACAAATAATAAATGCGTACTCGCCACCTCATACAGCCGCTTGGCTCTGATCACTGCAGCCTTATAAACATCATGTAGACATATTCAGGCGTCAGTTCCCAAAATTGTTTGCCCGTTATGCATCAACCCTGGATTTTGTCCCATCGAATGACCCCACATTAGAACCTCCCATCTATCCATTCGCCTCATTCGCCTTGAACGTTGGATTGGTAAAAGCGCTACTGCACCTTGATCCCACGAACTTGGACCTTCTTCCAGATGCGAGCAAATCCATCTCACTTCAATTTACACAAGTGAGGTGTTAACTGCATACTTCGCCAGCACCAGCAGATATGCTACCACAGCTGTTGATGGCGCGCGATGGCATAGACCGCTTTGGACTGAGTCCGTCTCCAGTACGCGTACACGAGTAACATTCTACGGAGCTGGGACAGGATAACAGCGTACCTAAGGTCTTCATCGTTGGAAGAGCAACTAACAGGGAGAAGAGAACCGAGCACAGAGACCTTACAATGAGGTCTTCCCACTATCATCCAAGGCCAAGAGCTTGACAACGCCGTTAATCTGCGATCCCGATTGAGAACTTCCCGCATTAGAAAGGCAGCAGACTTAGTAATCAAACATCGCGAGTTACTCACAACCTTGGCTTCCTGGACTTGTTGCAAAGAACAGCCCGAGCGAAGTGAATACGGCCGCTGTGCAGCTCGATATGTTGAGACGCTCGTTCCTGACACGGCTGAGCAAGCGCGGGCATTAAATCCGGTATTCAGCTTACCTTCCGACAACTGCGCTCTTCCTGGGTCTAACATTATTAATTGGGCTTAGTCTCGGAGCGGAGATATTCAGGCAGAGAACTGTGGGTGCTTATTTGACAGCATCAACACACGTAAGATGGAACCGCCTCGTATCTTCATGAGAACTTAGAAGCCTTCTAGGCGTCTCGGCAAATGCTTGTCCTAAGTGGGTCTGTTTGGTTCGGTTAGGAACAAGTGAGCGCAATGTCACTGAGAAATTGGCAACCTACGCAATTGATGCGGTGCTGCCCCGATTAAAACACATCTTTCCTAAACTATCCACCTCGAGCGTATGGGAACACCAAATTTGGTGAGACACATTTTCTTCACTTGATCTTCCTCGGTATCATCGACAAGGTTTCCGACATGTCAAGTTTCGCGTGAACTGGTTGCTGCCTGATATGGGTGATCGGCGTGAATCCTCCAATAAGGCCGTCAGATGACTCGGATGCCGAGCGCATTTCACGCGCAAACACGCACCCTTATTCCAACGACCCGGCCGCCCAACGAATCGTGAGTACCAGCCTCGAGAAATCTTGCTGACCCCCGTTCAGGTACATAGCAAGATTCGAAATAGATGAACGAAAATCAAGGTGATGACGACCAAATGACAATAGAAGAGCAAACTTCCTTCACGTTCAAGCAGTCCACCTGCCAAGATTGACAGCATACACATGCACTTCGTATCAGGGTCACACACTAGCATGACATCTCTGTCGGAAGCCGATCAATTGTGAGTCCATCAATTTCTGTTTCTTTCACTACATGACAACTAACGTCGACCGTACGGCATGAGATCGGCCTGTGAATGATGTACATATTCATGAGTCTTTATGCTCTGAAGGGGAGATTCTAGCTTGGTTGTTAAACGGCGTCCGTTGTTAATCCCTTGTCCTCACTGCGATCGACCGCGCTAGCTGTATTTTCTATAATATTTGTTCAAGCATCATCCTCGCCATCCCAGCTCGTCTCGTGTAGTGTCGGAAACGGAAAGATGGAGGACAATGCTGCACCGATATGCACCGAAGTCACGGTTGGGCTTTGTACACGAACGTATGGCTTGTCTTCCCGCACGTCCACGAAAAAAAACAAAATCAAGCAAGAGAGTCAAGTGCGCAGCCGCCGCCCCCGCCAGATGCCTGAGCTCCCATTTGACGTACTCTACGAGGTCTGTGATCCTCTGTCTGGCCCGCATCTTTCTTGTGGCATGCACTGACGCTTTTCTCTCAGATTTTTTGCTGCCTCCACCCAATGGACCTTCTAAACCTAGCACGATCGAGCAAACCTCTCCGTGATATCCTCTTGAGCCGCTCGTTAGTTACAGCGTGGAAGAAGGCTCGTTCGAATGTCAAGGATCTGCCGGATTGTCCTCCTGACCTTGACGAGCCGGGCTATGCTAATCTGTTATTCTTGCCACATTGCCATGTCAGTCATAGCTTTTTTGTGCACTAACCACCGCGGCTCATCGTATGTTCCCAGTTTTGTTTCAACGCGAAGGTGTTCAAACCTATGTGGCGTAGTCGGGTTCGATGTTGCAAGGCTTGTTTTGACAGCAAGTGTGTAATATATTCTTCTATCGCTTTTTCAATCATGGCTGATGTCGCAAAGTTTCGTGGACATGTCTGGTGCTCTTCGCTTTCTCTATCCTCATGCAGCAGAGACTGAGCGACCGCAGTCCCTACAAATAATTGCGGGAGACATATACAATCATCGTAGGTGTTGTTACTATCATTCGTATGGTGACTAAGTTACTAGTCAGGCCGGAACTACTTAAAAGCACGAGTTGCGGTACTACGGTCCTGTCTACAGGATGTTGGCAATAACGAGGAGAAGTCTCGAGCCTTCGAAGAACAGATGATAGAGTCTAGTAAGGCTGTTGAGATGGTAAGCCAAGATATGAAAGTTTCATTGCAGCTTTCTTGCTAAGCTACTGGTTAGCATGCGCGCCTCCTAGAGAAATGGCATTATGACCAGGGCATTATTCGCGCGAAGGAGCGTGATGATATACGCACGAAACGTTGTGAAGCGTGAGAATATTTTTTTGGGCCCAACCCGTTGACACTGATGTGATTTTATAATCATAGGATCATACAGAAGCTTCAAGAGCTAGGCTATGGTGATGATCTCAAAACAATGGATCGAGATATGGTCCGTGCATTTTTCAATCATCAAAAGGTGAAGCAGCCGAAGCAGCTGACGGAACGAGGTATGTGGATTACTCTATTCAGTTTTCAGCACTAATATCACGCTGTATAGTGTGGGAAAACATCAAAGAAGACATTCTTCAGTTCGTACTTCATGCAAGGGCCGTTCACCTCTCCAAAAGCCGCTGCGAGCGTCTCATCATGCAAATCCAAGCGGCGGCAAAGTTTTATATGACATTTATACTTCGCCGCCCTCACACAGAATTACTGCCGTCATTTGGTGACTTCTGCATGATGCCCGAAGTTCTGGCTATTCTTGGTCGGCCATCTATAGGTCTGGCGAAAAGCTTCGAAGACTTATCCCCCCTGCTCGTTGAGTTATCGGACCGATGGCACTTGGAGTGCTCTTTCAAACTCATGACACTCTTACCAGCCTCTGTGAAACAGATGAACGCAGAAGACATATCCCCTCTGGGATTAGCGACAACGTGGTTTTTCTGCAGCTCTTGTCAGAATCTTGTTGGGTTCCCAAGGATCCTCATCCATGCGTGTATGAACAAGTGCACCATGAATGGCGATGGCGCTCTTGACCTCACGTATACTCACCAGGCTGATGTGATGAACACGGTCCACTTGCTTTTCGGCGAGCAACCGTGGCACATTGTTACGGGCTCCCTCAGATTCCACCAGGTCTCCTGCTCCACTATCACAAATATTACCATGATATGTGGGAAGAATCCAGCTGTTGTCACGGCTCGCGAGATGGATGAGCTGGATGCCAGATTCATTTGTCTCAAACCGAGATGCATGACTCATGGTCATGTTTGTGTTGTCACGTGGAGGACCGCTGTGAGCTTAGGTCATTGTTCAACCACTTAATATCTAATGTTGAACAGGTACTGCATGAGAAGATATTCCACCCAGAGGGGGGAACTTCATGGAGCATCTTGAATACTGAGGACATCACAATGGTAAAAAAGATTGAGGAAACGGATAAACGGTGCAATTGTGCAAAATGGTCATGTTTTTATTGCAGAAGCGATCCTGCAACACTACACTCGGTAAAAGTACACCTGCAGCGTCGGTGGGTAATTTTGACAATTTACTTAATATTCTCTGACCCAAGTTGTAGGCATGACATTGAACACCCGCGAGAAGGACATGACTATATCTTACACCATGACACAGATCCTCATCCTTGCCTACCTATCCATGTGCCATTGGACTACCTTGGTGCGAAGGCTCCTGTCGGTCTAGTTGATGATGCCTAGGACTCTGAAGAGTATGTGATTGGAAAGAATTGTCATGTATATCAATGCAATTGTCTGAAGGCAATGAATGTGAGCAGTATACAGCATGACCATGAGCACCGTGGAAGTCGCCAACCCTCACTAACTTCCACCATTTATGCACGAACACACTTACTAAGCTGTGCAGGCCCGTCGTTGTGTGATAAGGAGCATGCCTCGAGTCTGAATCGGCGATATTGCAGTCAGCAGCAGCAGGTCTGCCCAACCGTTTATCCGGGCATGATGGGCCATAGCATCCAGAAGCCGCTCCTATGCGTACAAAAGGGACAAGATGACACGAACTGACGCCACACCCCAGTATCTCCTAAGCATCCGATGTTGAGATACAGACTGAAACCAAACGGAGGGACAATATATGAAGAAAATGTCTTAAATATCCGGTAACTAGGCGTACCGCGTCATGCATTCTGATAAGGCAGACTGTCCCGAGGGCCAATGTACACCTGTGCCGAATTGAGGACAAACGTCCAAATGCGAACGAAAGTATGACGTCATTGCTGTAGACGAAACTCACTTGAGCTCTCCTCCTGTGAATGCCCAAGCCCGCTTGAATCCTCCGGCCAGGAGACTGCCTTTTCGTACGTCCAGTGCAGGAGCTTTTCGTTAGATGTAGGATGACTACAGCAGTATCTAAATGGTTGAAGCAGTAAGTTGCCTCCGTAGCCTCGTTAGGAGAAAACCCACTGTCCCTGACCGTGTCTTTAGATGTTAATGAATCAGGCCTGGTCCATTCACATCCCAGGACAGACACACACCAATGTCCGTGTCCTATTCACATGTCCACGACCCTAACCCGTACCCTACAGTGGAACACCCGTCTGAACACACAACTGCACAGTGCAAATGCATGATCTGAGTGGTGCATTGGGCCTCCGCGTTCTGTCTTGCCATCCTCTGAACTTGCAAGGGATGCAGTAGGTGTTAATGACTTGCTATAGGACGACAGTTCGTGTGTACTGAGATATGCCATCTGGTATCAAAGGCTTTCCCAAAGAGGTCCCACCATGTCTATTCATTACAGTGATTCAAGACAAGATAGATTTGATTCGAAATTGAACCGTGATGGCCTTCGCGTGGGGAGTGAACTGTCGAGTTCGGCGAAGAGGAGATGAGTGTACGACAGCGGCGAATGCTAGAAGTATGAGTTGTTAACTCGTCCTGAGTGTAGCGAGATAATACGTCGACACTTACTGCGGAAAAAGTCATGGAGACTCTGGGCAGATCGAAGGATACACATTGCGGTGCAAGCAAAATAAAAGGGTTATCGAACTGAGACCAACGTTTATAATCTAATGTACACATCGATATTAATAGAGGGAAAAAAAGAGAATTTTTTTCTTCCACCTCTGCGTCAGCTGGCTTGCACTTGTCAGTAACATAGTTTCAAAAATTAAAGCATTGTTTGGTCGATTGAAGTGTCACCGTGCATACTATGCACGATGGCCCATATCGTGCATCGCCGCTGACGCACCGTACCCCAGGGAGCCATGCAGCTGACAACAAAGTAAGCACAAACAACATATGAGGGAAAGCGTGTATCTGATAGCCATGGCAGGACAGGAATTATCGCGCATCTACGAGGACTCCATTCCGAACAAGCCTGTGAACACCGGAGATGAATAGAGGGCACTCCGACAACAAGATTGGGCCCGGATTTCACCGCTGCGGATAGAACGACTCACGAACGAGACGCGCCGAGGTTTCCAATTGGGTACTAGGAGATCTCGAGAAGTTGCGCAGATCCACACGTCTGAATATCCAAATTGTAAGAGACGTCCAGCGAGAGAAAAGGGGTGTTGGGTGTATAGCAATGGCGTACGACAGCGGCACACGTGGACTTAGACTTGCGATGACCTCGAGAGAAGTTCGTGACGTTTGTAAATGGTCCTGCCGAAATCGTATAACTTCGGGGGTGCAGAATGTTCTTGGAACCCCTGGTGAGACAATTCGCTTGATTGGCAGATGGAGGGATTGTTCTATTCCGACCCTGCCATTGTCTCTTGATTTCACACGTTCAAGACGTTCGACTACTAAGCAAGCCGGACAGTTTCCACTTGAGAATGTCAGTAAACTCGGATATACGGGGAGAAACAGCCTACCGAAATATGCGTACCCATATACAAAGGACTGTGAGTTGCAAACTTATACCACTTCGCCTGCCTGATACCCCTCATCGCGATGCAATCTGACCCGCCTGCTTACATATCCTGCCTAGGTCAGCAGGCTCTGCGGGAGACAAACCTATCGGGAGCAATTCTCCAGGTCCCCTGTTCACGATTTTTTGCGATGAACGAACTTAGCTACAGGTCTAGATCTGAAGAACCGACTGCCTGCGCCGCTGTAATAACGTTTGATACCCTTCTCTCCTTTCAGGCTGGCATATTCTTTTTTTTTGACCGTGAATCACACACTTTGTCCATATCGTTGACCTGCAGTCTCGCACGGAAATGCTTTGATAGGCAGCATGTATTCAATGGCATACCGGGGTCCAGTCAATGTCTGTCTTCGTAGTGCTTCCTTTGCGGTAATTGTGACCGCCCGTCTGTGCTTTCTGTCCATGTTCCCAGTAGATCTAGATTGTAATACGACGAGGACAACAAATTACAACATAATTCTACAAGACTACATCGCAGCTACAGAATCAATCACGAATCAATCTCACGAGCACTTAAATCTTCGCGAAAGATCAAAACAGTCCGGGGTTTCAGTTGCAATTCACCGTTCAGTTCAAAGCCACCGCCTTTTTACTACATGGCCAGCCGAATTCTCGCGTCCGGAAGTCAGGCATGCTGCAGCGCGTCATCGAGAGGCGAAGCCATCTCTCTCGGACTTCCTAGCCAGCGGATGACGGAATCTCTTGTGGTAATTATAAACACTAGCATGGGAATGGTCAGTTCAAAGCAACCTATCACAGACCACAGCATACCCAGCGGGATACTGAAACATTCTCCCGGCTGGAACAGCGCTGTACAGCACTCTCAGCATGGCCTTAGCTGAAACAAGGAGGGATTCAAAACGTACACTCTACGGCAATATTCTTTTTATCGATATAAACCGGATAATTGACGTCGTCACGTTCGGCGACGAAGTCTTTTATAATCTCCGAATCGGTCGGTGCCTTATTGAATATCCCCTCATTATTGAACGTGATGACCTTGACGTCTGGGTATTGTGCGGCGACGTCCGTGAGAATTTTGCACACCGGATGACAAGGCTGCGCGAGAAGTTAGATGGGCCTCTGGGAGGGAACATGCCATACAGACTTACTCGGCACCAGCTAGAAGGCGCATCCATTAGCCCCGGGCAAGTGATCGATAAGGCGGAAAGATAACGTACGTCGCCCAAAACTCGATTACAAGAACTTTTTTGTCCCTCCATCCGTCCTTGCTTGCTTGCACACACTCATATGCGTCCGCGTCGATCCAGTCAAGGTCGACCTAAGTCCTTACCGTCACAATTGAACTTGCCCAATTGGTTACGAACACCCACCTGTTTGCCGAGGAGAGGGCTCCTCCACCCAGGACGCAGGAATTCGGGCGGGCCTTTCTTCAACTGCTCCTCAATGCCGGCCCACCCCGGTAGCTTAGCGAACTTCATAATGCGCTCGATCACCGCGGGCTCGTGCGCTGCCTTGAATCTGGCTGCGTTCGGTCAGCACATAGTCCGATGGTCGGAGACAGCACTAAACGTTAGCTCACCGATAGCGGCGTCCCACTGGGCTGCAGGGTCACACACATTAAGCGCATGACAGCATCGTGATGCGAGTAGTCAGGAATGTTACATGCGTCCGCGTGTGGTAAGAGCGCACCTTGGTCCCATTTGTCGCCATAGAGCTCCAGGAATGGCGTGAAGACATTCGTCGCGAAATCCTCCATGGCCACGCGTTCTGGATACTCATTTGTGGATGAGGACATGAATTACGTGCAGAAAGCCTGCTTCAATTTTGCACCCGAATCAGTGACAGAGACATAAACAGGAGCGGACTCACGAGTCCAGGCGGAGGGTTATCGGGTGAGAGACTGCTGGGAGTCGACCATTGCATGAGGGCTTTATGAGTTGCGGAAACAGTCTGTAACTTCATGAGGGCATCAGTGACAAACACTGAGTTTGTTAGTGACACGACTCTAGAACACGTAATCAATCGAAACTGCGGCCCCTGAAAGGAACGCCTTACATCCGATCGGGAGTGCTGCTGCCGCTTTCTCCGCGCATTTCCAGTATGGGGTAGATCGATATACTGCAGGCCGCTGACTCAGCCACATATCGATAAGCTTTCGGGTTGAATGGATCTGCAGACAGTGAATGTTGGACTTTGAATGAATGTTGAAACGTTGACATCTTGAACGCTTGGACACTGAGTTGAAATTTAATGGTACGTTGAACGTGGACGTTTCTAACAGTTAAATTCAACTACTTTTAAAATTAAGATTCCAGGGATCGCTCTCTACCCCGATTGCTCCGCTTAAATGCCTGGCGCCTTACTCCACTGCGATTCTCAGCTCCGTTACAATACATGATGTCATACCCCTCTCCCCGCCCCGTCCTTGTGAACGTGGAGAGTTCATGAACGTGAATCTTGATAGTGCCAACTTGTAACCTTTTCAAGCTTCGTGTTGACATTGAAACGTTGAAGCTTGATGGAAGCCCATTTGAAGGTTGAAATCTTGAAACCTTGAAACCTCGAAACCTTGAAACCTGAAGGTAGGTAGGTAGGTAACCGGCATTGGTCCCATTCAGGAACACCAAGTTTGTTGTACTTAGACTACGCTGGACACTGATCTAGCGCTGAGCAGTGCCTTACCGTCTCTTTCGCGTTGAACGGATTATACACCGACCTGTCACTCTTGTAACCCTGCGCGAGGAATGGTGTTAAACATACTTGAATCAGGATATCGTGGTTGTGGGGCCTTTCCAAGACTGTCATATACCATGATCCGGTGTTTACAGTTGCTCGGATATCGCGAGACCTCGATATCGTCACTCTGTCACCGTAAGCTCAACCTTGAGATTGTGCTCCGGCCTATTCGCCCCTCGATCTCGATCCGTCGCGTGACCGGTACCTGACGATACACGTCACGGTCGAGTGGCTGAAGACGGTTGGCGAGACGTCGTCCAGTGCATTCGCTGTCTCGTGAAAGACATTTTTGGAGCAAGGTGCGCAGTTCGCTTCTCTTTCGTCGCACTCACTTCACTGTGTTTGCGTGCCCATATCTCGTATCATGTCTTGGATTTTGCACCCAGAGCGCCCGACGGAGCTGCCACCTTCGCGCAATGGCCAGACTGTACCAACTAGCCCGGGAACAGAGGTACCTGCGTCTCCATGGGGAGAGTTTCCAAATGACGACAAGTATCCCAAGGTCCCAGATCCTGTGGAACGCGATAGACTCGTATTAACAAAGCAGGCGAACCGACCATTCCTCGGGTGCGCACGATCGTTGCTCGTGTATTCGCAGTATCCTGAACTAGCACCTGTCTCTGAAGACTTTCACAATACTGCAAGCAGCAGGAAAATGAGCATGAAGAGTGGGTCAAGCGCAAGAAGGGGCGCGAGGTGAAGATTGTGCGAGGTGAACCTGTAGGGCCGGAGGAGCCTGACCTCGCGGAGGAACCTGAGGTCGGCTGCCTCGGCCTCATTAAATTTCGCCTCTACACCGCTATAGTCGTCCTTCTGACTGGCAAGTTCATTACCGGAAATTACTTGCGGGAGCTGGAGCCCCCGAACTGGCGGAAACTTATTCCGGTGAGCATTTCCGGTCCAACTACGTACTCATAATGCGTGTCTGATGTCTACTATTACGACATCGTGTCGGTGTAAGACGAACCAACGGTTTTTTTCAGAGGGCACGCTGGCAACGTTCCGTTCGATGGTTCAAACACTTAGAAACCCGTTTATCTTGCCGTAAGTCGCCTTGGAGCCCTGTACCACCAGGCTGCCAGGTTCCCGCCATACTCCCTGCCTAGATCGATGGCGACGTGTACGATGTGACCGTTAGCCGTGCGACATACGGGCCTGGCGGCCCCTACCACATGATGTAGGAGAACCGTTATCATGTCGAGCTGCGCTGACCGAGTCTTGCAGGGCCGAACGAGACGGCGCCCGTGCGTTCGGAACGGGATGTTTTGCCACGCACCTAACGCACGACCTTCGCGGATTAAGCAAACAAGAAATGAAGGTGATTCCAAACTTTCCGATCCTTGTGGCGCAAGCTTGTTGATCCCTCGCTTATTTACCTCGCCGCTACCAGTGCGGCGCGTGCAGAATTGGAAGGAGTTCTATGCTAAACGTAAGAAGTACGTCAAGGTCGGACGCGTTTCTCATCCACCCGTTGATCCTGCCAGCCCCATACTGGAACACTGTGATCCGAGCAAGGCGAGACCGCAAGCACCGTGGTTGGAGAAGTGACTGAAGGAGGGCGACCCGCACCGTGGTGAACTGTAAGGAGATTATATATTCCACTGACGATCTACGCGGAGGAGTCCTGTAACTACTTATTATAAGGCTCTATGTAGTTACAATGTGGTGATGCAAGGTCCGGCTGGTGCGAGCGTGCGCGATAAGACGAATGTGCATGTCCAAAAAATAGTCCTCAAGGTTCGCGTGATAGCCTCGGCAATGATAACAAGAAGCTGTGCTCAGCTGGTCAAGGGCATAAGGGACGGTCAGCGCATGTCTGACAAGCGATGCGTATGTTTATTTACCTTCACGGAGCCGGGCAGGTTTTGAGATAGTTCTTGAGGATCGGGAAATCGGCCATCGACGCTTCTGCCATCTGAGAATAGTCTGCGTCGCGGTATTTGGCGACAACGATGTTTCCACGCCACGCTTTAGCCTCGTTGAAGCAGGCGCCCTGAATCTCGCGGATGCACTTGTTGACTGGGAAGGGCATCCCATCGCGGGATACAATGGGGTAGAAGAGTATGTACGGAGTGGTGAACTTCTTGTTCATGCCATCAAGGGCCTCAACAAGCTAAAGAGGTGTGGGAGACGGGAGAATGAGTGAGTGTCATGGCCGGTGTTTAATCTGGGGGAGAGATCGCATTAGACGCACATGATACTGCCAGGACCTGGGCCCCAAGCCTTCGGCAATATAGTCGATATGAATTTCTGGGTGTGGCATGTGACTACAGCGGTAAGGCTGGGACGGATTGGGAAGAACCACATTGAGAACTGTGGTCATCAGGGAGACCAAGTGGGGGGGACGGTCGTCGGCAGGAAAACAAATCGCGTCGTAGGGAATCATTTGGTCCATGGCCAAAAGACGAGAAAATTGAAGTGTGTACAGTGAAGTAGAAATTTGGACGAAGAGCGAAGAACTGGAACTTGGTGCTCACCGAGGAGGACGGGGGGAATATATACCGCTGGGGGTGTTGCAGTCATATCGAGGGATATAGCCCACCGAGTGGCAAGGCTGGGAAGGAAACGATGGACTGGAGGCTCATGGCGGAAACCTCGCGACTGGCAGATCTTGGCAGCGTGGAGTAATGGTTGCCCGAAAAGGCAGGTGTATTGGCCGTAAGAGGCAAGCATGGGGTGACCGTCGCGACGCGTGCGTGACACCTCGCAGGGTTAATCGAATGTTAACTGAATGTTAACCGAAGGTTAACCTTTTGCTCTCCTGCGTCTGCCACTCGTGTCGCCGGCTCGCTGCTGTATTTTTGATCAAACGGAGCCCCCGTTCTAGATTCCAAATCAATACTACTGTGCTACCCTGCAAACCACGCCGTCGATGGAGTGCGGCGTGCTCGTCGCGTCCCATCTTTCCTCCCTCTTCCCGTCGTCCTTGCCCATCTCCGTCCCCACATCGCATAAGGATATTCTCAGCCTTTTCGTGGACTCCTCTGCTTCCCCAGAACATGCCAGCTACTCTACCCTCTTTCATACCTCCCGAACGGGCACCATTCTGCTTCGCCTCATACACCGTGCTACCCTTCTCGAACTCATCATCACTCTCACCCGCGATGCTCCCCAGCTGCGCTTTGATTTTCCTGGTGCCATCTTACCCTCTCCGGCAGTGGGAAGAGCGAGAACTACACGTTATTATCGTGTCAGTCGTGGGCTCTCTCTATCGCTTTGTCCACCCTCTTCAATGTGGCGCACAGCTCTGGCAACCCAGCAAGTACCGGTTTCGCCAGTACGACATCCAGAACATGCAGTCAGACATGGAGGGGTTGGTCCAAGTGCACGGGCCACATTGTGTTGTTTTGAGTTTGCCTAGTGGTTCCTTGCTACGTTTGGAAGTAGAACTTCTCGGGAATGATGACGAGGATGGTACGGCTCTCGACTCGCCCCTGGACTCGCTGCGGCCATTATTAACCCACACATAGATGTTTGGCAAGAGGCAGAATTCCATCCTCATTCACTTACTTCAATCACCTCGTTGCTGCCCTTGCAGGGCGGTCTTCCAGGAAGTTCCGACATGATCTCGATGGCGTCCTTCCGTTTGGACTCTGTCAAGAGACCGGACCCTCCGGCTATGGACAGCACGAAGCGGATGTGTCGCTGAGAAGTCGCTCGCTGCGATCATTCCAGGAAAGGCCATGACACCTGCTTCGACATCCGCCTCAAGCTCCGGAATCTGCCTGCAGATGCGCAGAAGCTTCTCAGTGTATTTCCAGAGTTTGAAATGGAGAACCCTGTGCCTTATGTTCTCGCGTTCATCCCAGCTGCATCATCCTTGACTTCGGGAGGTTATTTCCATCTCTTCAGCTCGCATTCCAGCGATCTACATCCTCTGAACTACTTTGAGTGCTCCGTCACAAGTGCACATTGTCATTTACAGGACTTCGTGGTGATTGGCTCCACCCTGTACACTGTTTGGGATAAGCAGGGCCAGTTCATGGTGGAAGACACCAAGATTTCGTTTCATGATGGTAACAGGATCGAGGTGGTGTGGAACACCGCGACTTACGCCCATGAGGCGGAACTCACACCGGCGTATCTGGAAAAATTGCTTCTGTCCGCAGGCTCCATGGCTGACAAGTTTTTCGAAGCAATCTCAAGACCAGGCATATTCTCGCCTGTAACGCTTCGGACTGCTATCGATCAGTACACTGATGCATGCCGCTCCCTCTCCCCGCCATACGCGCCACGGCTGTTGACCATGTACGGCAGCATGGGCGAGCAGATCGCTGCCGTAGTGGGCTGCACGGTTGAGCTCACCCGCGATCCCAGCACCTGTGCTCCGCAGTACGACAGGTACTGGAACGGGCTGAAACGCGACTGGGAGGGCTTCGTAGCGCGGTGTCGTGAGATCAAGCGCCATGCGCGCTGGCCGCTGGCGATCGGCATGGGAAAACTCAGGGAGGGCATTCTGGTCGTCGAACGCGAACGAATCATGGCGCTCGTAGACAAGGACTTTCCTCTTAGGTCCCGCCGGCTTCTCGCGGCGTCTTCTCTTCCGGACCCCCAGTTTACCCTCCTGGAGATCCTGTGTACGCTGCGTGCTAAGATTGGCACCCGGCCCATGATTGTTTTCGAGGATCGATTGGTCGACCTTGTGCATCAAGAGATCGCCTTCCCATATGCCGATATTATACAGGACCAAGCCGAGTGAATCAACATCCGCGAGGAGCTCGACGAAGGCATGGAGAGTTGGGTTGTCGGGCGCTTGCAGAGCGTCGACAACATGTCGGACACTATTCAGTCAGTGCTCAATGTCATTGGTGACTTGGAAAAGAATGTGAAGAAAGAAATGAGGATGAAGATGCAGAGTTGCGGCTTCCACCCGCCTATCCGGAGTGGTGGAGGGCGCTTGTGTCTTCGTACGTTGCAGTTTCCGTCCAAGCACGATATGACTTGTGTCTGTGGCTCGTTACGTTGCTCTTCTTCGTCTCGGAAGATTTGCCACAATGGGATCCCGCGTTGCTAGCAGAAATCTTTGTGATATTCCGTGGGATCGCCATGCTCTGGTACGCGACACGCCAGCCAGCTGTGGGCCTTGGCGGACGAGGAAGTCGTCGCGAAGATGAGGGACATGCACGTCTCGTCAACGGCCTCCGGATTCACGCTGAGCTACTCGCTCATCCACTGTCTCCTCACGCAGTACGACAGTGATGCAGCAGGCGCGCCTGTCTCCGCACACCTATTGTTAGATTCTTCCGGGCTGCTGGAATCTTTATCTCCTGCAAATGCGACGAAGCTCGAGGTGCTCTTTTGGGAGTGGCTGCGTCTTCTCGGATACCGCGAGGCTTCCAGAGAGAGCTTAGCGTGGCTGCCGAGGACAGCTGAGGTGAAGTACGTGCTTGGGCGACTGTGGTTGGATGAGGGTAGGTACGATGATGCAGCTTCGGTAATGGAGGGTGTAGCAGTCAGCCTCGGTAAGTGTGTTGGAGGGTGTAATCCCTGTACTGCGTCACTAATAACGGTATCGCCCGCCAGGACGTGACAGGTGTTAACCATGGAGGACCACGAGGCTCCGGCCGGGGTACTGCCAGGCGCGGCGTTCTTACAATCTGTGTTCGATCTCTATTTGCATATCGCCAGCCTCTTCAAGGCCATTTCTGTGACATCAAGTGAAGTGGTGTTTTCCCAGCTCGCTCTGTCCGTGGCACCGCCAGGTGTCGACACCGCGTCCCTGTGGCACGCGGTCATAAGAGGCCTCACGGACTTGGGGCTTTATGAAGATGTGTATGCCCCACTAGTCTCCCACCTCTATAAGAAATTGTGTGTGGGTGTCTTCTTTCTGTCCTCGTCCCGTGTCACATGAGAACTCACCGTCTTGTGTTTACCAGAAAATGGGAATGTGTGAGCTAACTAATGCACCGGATGTGCGAGGAGCACGCCGTCGACCGGCTCATGGTCGTTAATTTTACGGGCTTCGTGGACGAGGTGGATGAATCGCTCTCGTTTAAGGCCCGGAACGTGGACCCGCGAGTGCGACCGTTCTACTCAAGGATACTCTACACGTTGTATATCTCTCGTGGCGATTATCGTAATGGTCAGTCGTCATCCTTTTCCCCAGGGAACATCATTCTCAACCATGTTTCTCGGACCTTAGCCGCCCTCACAAAGTACCAGCGGGCGCGGAAGCTCGCCAGCCTGTTCGGAGACCCGGCGAACTTCATTGAAATTGCCGAGTTGCAGCTTGAAGCTTATGTTGTTGGAATGAATGCTCTCACGCTCACTGATCAGAAGAACACATGGGTCATCCTGCTTGTTACGGCCGAATTCGAACACGAGGTAAATAGGGCTTCCTCGCTCCGGATCGCTTCTCCATGATGCTAATTGAAAAGGATTTTGACGCGTGCAGCCCCGTAAGCGTCGTAAGCTGTCGAGACCCCGTAGGTCAAGTACGGGCCCGGGAAGCGGGACATGAAGGTGGTGGAACTGGCGGACATGCAGTACGAGTATACACTTTTGACTATCCGTCTGGAGTTAATCCGCCGAGACCCCACACTTCCGTCGGCTGGGGGTAAGTTGTGTCCGGTTCCCAAGCTTGACGTCCTCGTGAGCTGATAAACGAGCCCGCAGATGCGCTGCCATCGCCTCTGTCCGTCATATTGCATCTGACACAAGCGAATCGCTTCAACATGGACATGGCTACCGCACGCACACTTAACGTCGACATGACTGATCTCTTCGGACATTTGACCGGCCTATGTTTGCGCCTCTCCCGCAACCCGGAGGCTGTCATGTAAGGCTGCTGTCTGCCTGCTCCAAGCCTGCGCTGACTCATCGTTGATAGAGGCGGAGACACGTCGTCTGACTGGCTGCTAACTGACAAAGTGATTTCGTGGCCCGGCACGGCAGCAGACCGAGGCTGGCGATACCTTCGAGAGTTGCTGGAGCGGCACGATGGTCCGGATACGGATTACAGATACACCAAGGTGACATTGGAAACCATCTTAGAACTCGATCGCACATCACCACCTCGACAGTGGTTGACTCAGCCGCTAAAGGCAAGTCTTCTACGCGCAACCATTGTGAGCGCATCGCTAATTCCCCCGCCGCAAGTGCACCACCCTGAGTATCTGATTCGCACATGCCTGCGCTACGAGATGTTCGAAGGGGCACTGGAGCACACGTTGTCGCTAATGCGGAGTGAGTGTTTTGACCCTCTTTATCGTCGTGGTCACCCTCCTGATTAAGGTGCCTCCTTGCAGAGTGACGCTCACCTCGCACAGGAGAGGCCCAAAACCGTGTCTGTGACCTGGCTACCATATACCTTGATTGACCAGGTTCTCGCCACAGTGGATACCCAGGAGGGGCTTCCCGTCCGTGCTCAGTCTCTTCGCAAAGAATTGCGGACAGAGATTTCCAACCGCATAAAACGTGTGCAAAACTTCGGCCAGTCTGTCCGATAGCCACGGTCCGTTTGTTGTGATATCCCACTGCTTATTGGTAGATACTGTACGTGTTAATCCTGCACTGTTCGCGCTACTCATTACCCATGCCGTTGTGTAGAATAGTAATACCGTTTGTGGATCTATTTTACTTTACACCATAGACATCGTCGCCCCAAAGTGGCTATTACTTTGACTAAGTGCGAGGTGAGTAAAGAAGGCTCTCAACACCGCCTAATGGCCTCTCTTCTTTCTCCGCATCTGGGGTGCCTTCTTTGATGTTAAAAGTCCCGACAGTCTCCGTTGGGTTGGAAATGCACTTGGTTCGGGGAACAGTACTCCACGAGTACGTCCTATCCACATATGCTGCGGTCGTATTTTGTCCTCAGCAACTCTTCACCGGCTGACACACTACAAATTTGAATGCAGATAGCGCACCAGCAGGCATCACCTGTGATGCATGCGGCGGTGACGTCGGAGAGATAGCCGTGTTTCAGCTGTGTGGAGACTATGGAGGCACGTGTTTTCTCCCTTTTAATGTGCCAACAGGTTCGGCCTTAATGCCGCCGTCACCTGCATTTCAGCATTGTGCAGGAGGATGCATAACCCAGGACCCCCGATAATACCTATAAAAGCGACCTCCAAGTGGTGGCGGTCTGGTTCGGACAGTTTTTGTGTCATCCTGGTCCGAACATGGCTCAATCCTCCAAATTTCGGCCAGTTTGGTCCGGACAAGGATGATGCCTTCCGGGCTTTCCACCAATCAGAAGGCTCCCAGGGTTTCGCGGCCCCTCTGGCGCCGCTTCTCTACCTGTTTTGCGTTACTTTTGCCGGTGCTTTTGAACGGACCACTCCCGGATTCCAACTTGCGGTGCGCTCCGCGCACACCTACCCGGCCGCCCTCACGAGAGCCCACTGGTGGTCCGGACAGGTATCAAGCCATGGTCGGCCTGACCACGCTTGGTCTGGACATTTCATCAAGGTGTTTTGGCTCCGGACCTCCATTTTGGTCCGGATTCGCTCATGCCTTCAGCGATTTCGAGCCGATTTTGGTCCGGACACATAGGTAGCCTTTGTAGGAATTATCGTGGGTCCTCGGCCGCTCCGACAAGACAGATCTTCTCCGCCGCGTGTGGCGCCCTGCCAAATTTGAGTGACCGCGTTAACTCAGCCAGCCTATATCCAAGTTTTCGCACAGATCGCCTTTGTGACATATTCACGGAATGCTCTATCAGCGGCGGGGCAGGCTGCCAAAATCAACTACAGTGTCGCGTCGGTGACGATTCTCGACACTCCGCTCGACACTATCTCTGGTCAGTGGGTGGGCGCCTCATGTCGCGTGTCCATGGCTACAAACCTGTGGTTGTTTTCCCCCACGCGTACTAAACGCTTACCATCGGGATTATGTAGAGCTTTGACAATACGTATATATCCCAGCCTAGTACTGCATGCACCTGAAAGGCTACGACGGCAATGGTGAGCATTATCCACCAAAACAATAATGCACTGTCATACATTCGCCCTTCATTGGATGTGGTGTTCATGGCCGGGCCCGTGAGGCGAACGATGGAATGTCCACGCTGCGCAACCGCGTTCTCGTAATGCATCTCGTCATCGCACCGAAAGTATAGATTGGCTTACGTAGATCGGACGCAAGGCGGGTTTTCCTCACATATGTCTGAACCCATCTCCTTCTGTGCCCTCTCACGAACATCCTCCGTTCACTGACTTTCCACTAACAGACCCTTCAGCTGCACAACAAAACTTATATGTAAGCAGCTGGCTTTGTGTGAGAGGTCCTGGTTGAGCGTCTGCTTAATCAGGTCGAGCACGATGGCAATCGAAAACGTCCCGGAGAAGGTGGATGCTGAAGCTCTACAGAACGGAGGCATAGGACCTCCAAAGTCCGGTGCAATATTGGAGGTGAAATACCTGCACGAGGCGCTCGATGGGTTCGGCTTCAAGTACACCGCGGAGCCTCCCTACAGGAGCCAACCTCAAGATCTCTGCGAACAGCAGACCGGCTCCGATTATACCGTATACGCGTTCGTTGTGATTAACTGCCTTAAGTCGTCTGCAGGTGGCCAGACAGTTCCCGATGGCACGACCATACTTCAAGTGAACAGTACGCATTTGATTAACATCGGCAAGGACGTGATTGGTGAGGGTCAGGGTGTTTCGTGGACTTCTAGTCCGGTCCGAGTGCGTAGTAGTATTTCTCTAGTATACTGGGCGTAACTAATGAAGATTTGGTAGGTCGAGCCGCAGCTACTCCTGAGCTTTCTGTCCGAGCTCCAGCAATATGCAAAGGAACTCAACGAGAAATCGATCGCCGAAGATGGCTCGTCGTTATGCACAAAATGCGCGCATTTATCTCACTTGCTTGACTTTCTAAAGGCGGCATATTCGAGCACCATAGAAACACTCTCTTCCCTACTCGCGCATGGAGAAGTGTCGTTCGACTTTTTATGGGCATTGTACGTTCCCAGGAAGACACTCCTATATCTCCCGTGTCCAGTAACAGGCGAGCCACGCGCAGCGCGCTTAGTTCAGGCAGAGCTTTGTGAGAAGTCTGACGACCAGGAGTTCCCACCGCCCATTGTACATCAGCCTACCAGCCACTCCAGCGCGAAAAAAGACCTGAAATACTGGCGTTTGGCCTTGGAATATGTCGAGGCCGATGTCGGAATGGTGGGTGTACCCATGGGCGAGTTGGGCTCTGGAACAGGGATGCAACAGGGCAATCTTGAGCCGCGGTTCGGATTGGCAATGTTGAATGTCAGACTGGAAGTGCATGCCTTTAAGGGAACCCAAAAAATTTCGAGTTTGCTTGCTTACCCGATTTGCTACTACACCGGTCCAGGGGGTGAAAGCGGACTCATGAACAGGCTACTCGCTCGTGGACGGAAGTGGGTTGCAGTCGCTGGTGGGATGCACCACAAGGCCTATCGAGGACTCGCGTTTCGTTACAGCTACAAAGCAGGTGGATACGTTAAGATGAACGTGAGTTGCTTACAACCGCTCAGATATGTGCTCATAGGTTCATAGGTAGATTCGAGGATCATTGCTGATAGAAGTAAACTAATGACATTACTTCAGTGTTGCGCTGCGCTCATACCAGTACTCTGCATTACTTAGAGAGATTTCAAGATTTGGTTCCGCACTACAAACTTCCCATAGTAACAAAGGCCATGTGCGGACACAGGATCGACAAATTTGCGGTGCGCGCAGGCGCCATTGCGAATTCTCTTAGCCCAGTTGTCGATCTCACAGAAATGGACCTGCTCCTCACTTCTCCAATCATATATGGCTTTAGTCTCTCCGATAAGCAATGGTGTTTGTACCCTCCTCTCCTCTATTACCTATTGCTGACCTCACTTGGTGTGAACAGTGGAGTTCATCATTGACTATGCGTCAGACATTGAGTGGAATGACGAAGCCTATGACCACCTTGTTATTCCAATCGACCATAAGATTGTCCTGAAAACTCTCGTCCAGTCCTACTCTACCGGTGCCATGTCGAAGTTTGATGACTTTGTGGCAGGAAAAGGCCTGGGCCTAGTCATCAACCTCTATGGGAGCCCAGGAACAGGTTAGACGAGCATTTTACAAGATGTGATAAGCTATCTAATACCAGTTCACCGCATTACACAGGAAAGAGTATGACTGCTGAAGGCATCAGCGAGTGTGCGTAGATCTTGCATGTTCGCCCATTTAATCTGGCTGACAATGTCTTTGTGATCTACCAGATTTGCATAGTGAGACCTTTATTCTTTAGTATCCGATTCTTCATTGATGTCTTGCAGAACCCCTCTATGTAGTTGGCGTAGCAGAACTTGGTACGACGGCGGAGGTATTGGATTTCAACCTTTCTGCTGTTTTGAAGGCCGCTGCGGCTTGGGGAGCTGTGGTGCTTCTCGACGAGGCTGATGTGTTTCTTGAAGAGCGCAGTTTACAATACCTTGAACGCAATGCCATGGTGGCAGTGTTCCTCAGGCGGCTCGAGTATGTTTTCAATCTCTTTCATTGTCCACATGATTAATACACCTCTCAAAACAGATATTTCACTGGGATTTTGTTCCTCACGACCAATCGAGTCCGTGTATTCGACGAAGCGTTTCAGTCCAGAATCCATCTGTCCTTGCATTATCACGATCTCTTACCCGATGCCAGAGAACACATTTGGACGGCATTTATGAAGAAGATAAACGGAAATGTACCTCGAGGAGGGTTGACACAGGAGGAGCTTCGTGAACTTTGCCAGAAAAATGTTAATGGTCGGCAGATCAAGAATGTTGTTAGGACTGGAGGCGCTATTGCTGCTTCGAAACAAGAGCCCGTATCTTATCAACACTTGTCCCGTGTGTTAGATTTGATGGAGCAATTCCATGTCAGGTGTGTAGTGACTACTGTCGTTTTCAGGGGCTGATAAGTTCTGCGTTGTAGCCAATCTATGTATCAGTAGAGGACTTCTGGACCTTCGCCTACACCTTCCATCCGTGTGAGCCATCTGGAAAGGCTGTGCAGCCTCACATATTCGCTTTGGAAGGCTCACGATCATTTAACCTCATGTGCTAGGGGAGATACCTACGATGCAAGTACACGAGACATGGAATCATATATGGCGAGTTTGTTGTTAGTAAATACGCTCTTGTAACATGCTATGTTCTCAGTTATTGATGAAGCGGATGCCACCAATGAAGCCCGAAATTGACTACTAGCTTGAAATCGCGCTCGCATACAGCTCAGTCTACTGTTTTCGACCGGCCTCTATTACGACATGACATCGCAGAGGGATGTTATGTTTAACTTAAGTGCTGAGACATTAGCACTTGTTGCGTACATCTGGCATGGCCGTAGTCTGAGTGTAATAACTTGCTATTTATAGCCGTCACTACTGCGCCAAGACAAACCTCATGGAAGCCACGGTCGAAGGTGATTCGTGTTGGAATTCCTGTGTATAAGTGTATAAGTCTCGCGTCCTCCCCGGCTTCAGCGTCCTCCTCCACGCTGCTGAATTGTGTGCTCATTTACCTGTTTGCCAGGTTCGACCTCCATATCCACCGTGTATGTGACCTGGTCATGCTCGGCAAGCCGCTCGGGTGATCCAACTCAAAGGGCATCATTCCCGTTGTTTAGTTTATATGTGTTCGCGTTTGAAAGACTGAGCTCAATATCTTAATCGACCTCACACTAGGTGAGCTTGGCCTGCGGGACATAGAGGGAGTAACACCGCTGGAGCAACACCACGGAAACGGTCTTTGTAATGCATCTTTCGGAGGCGTATTGAAGATTTCGAGGATAAATTCATAAAACCGTGCCGCAGCCCGGTCGCTCGCTCTGCGGCCACGACATGATCCATATTGCGATGGCAGAAATTGGCAGTACGCAAAGCTAATCCCCCCTGCACATGTCGAGCACTCCTGCGAGATCGCGGGGTGCTTATCACATAGTCCCGATGTCAAGTCGCACAGCACCATCAGTTCGTTGTGGGTCTCCCTCTCCTGCATTTTCTAGCACCATGGTTACCTCTGATACCGCAGGCTGAAGCAACGACATATATTTTGAACTGATCGCCTTGCTTCAGCTCGATGCCACAAGTGCAGAGACTGACTGCGATGGAGGGGCTGCTATCCACGAGGTCTGGCGGTAGACGCGGTCAGGAGCCTTCGTCCATGAGACTGCTTGCGTGGATTGCCCGGCCTATAGCCTTCGGATGACATTGCGTGGATGGAGCTGTCACCTGTTATATTGATAGCAGAGAAATCATAACCTGCACCTGTCGGTAATACAGCTCTGTTTGATTTGAATGGACTTCATATATAGAATGGGCAAGCGTTTCGCAATAAGTACTGTATAAGCCCACCAGTGGGAGTACATGGACAAGCACGGCCATGTCATGCGTGCGTAGAAAAGGTTGTAACACATTTAAATCTGAGAACAATTGAGCATCGGGCCCTCCGAGTCGTGCAGAGTGCACGTAGATCCCACATTGGACACGTTCCGATGGAACCGCCAGACGGGCGACGCGGGACACAGAGCACGTCATCCGCGCGAATAGAGAAACGGTTATTCGAGAGGCACGAGCTAGCGAAGCACTCACACGCGTGTACCTCCAGGAAGACGCGTGTTGACGAGCCGGAGCGACCACACTGAAGACGTGCGCACGTCGTGCCACCTCTCGTTATCTGTCTCCGCAGTCGATATCGGAGCCGCCCTTCGTAGATCTTCCTCCCGGTCAATCGCAGCGTCAGCGTATGCGCTAACTCGGGATAGACCAGCATATTCAGGTGCGTGCCAGCGTGGGGGTGGCAACACAAACGATGCTGTATTAAACGGGCATTGTGTAAGACAATCAGTATACAATATCAACACATAGGCAAAAAAAGACTAGGTACGACGTGCAAAGGTGGAGCACTCTCGAACAAGCGGTGTCTGGCAGAGCATAGCTCGTTATCCTACCGAACAGGTACGGTGTCGCCGAACAGAGGGCATGCGAAACGATCGGAGGTTGAATATTACCTTAATCATGGGTGGAGCATGTTGAGGTCTTTGCGAGAAACGCCAAGTCCGCATCCCCATGTTGGCGAGCAGAACGGATCCTTCATGTTAGATGTAGTGCGACTGTCGCAACGCCGACATGGTAGAACCGGTGAGTTGCCTACGTCAAGCTGGTGAACTAGTTAGCCACCTTTTCTGATCATGATACGTCCACATTCAACGACACAACCCGCACCCACTCCACGTCTCAGAAATTCCTCTCCGAGATGCGCACCCATCCACGGGCCTCCAGCGTGCCAAGACGTTACGAGGGAGATGAGAGCGTCGAGCCTAGAGTATTGAATGAAAAAGAATCCAATACTATAGAGCATGGGAGGGAGGGGATGGTTCGAGGGAGCTCCTCGAGAGAGAGCGGGGCGGGGTACTGGTAGCCTAAGGCGTGCAGCTGCGCGACGGGCTTCTTCCGAGATGGCCGTGAGGTCATGGGGCGGGGATGTATAGGAGTACTTAACCTTGGACGCGGAGGCGTTCTCGGCGGGGAGGGAGAGGGGGCATTTGGACTCGTGTTGGCACATGCTCGGACAGCGGGATGATGGCAGCGGCGAGAATGTAGCTGGTCCTCGCTGTCCCCGTAAATGGATGCGCCGAGGGGAGAGATCGGGGTGGTGGCGTCATAGTCACAGTCGGCGAGACGCGAGCCACGAGTTGGAGAGTCTACGCCTCGAGCGGATAAACCGGCTAAGCCCTCGAGCGGGTAGGGGTGATGTCGCGAGGAGCGCGGCGAGGTACTGTGTTAGTGCAATAGTAGAAGCGTTATCGTGTATAGTGTATACCTTTCGGCCTCGGAGTTGGTCCACACGGATGTTTGACCTTCCGTAGTCATTTGCGGATTTCCAGGTGATTTGATATCGAGGACATTGGACGCTGTAACTTGAAGTCTCTGGAAGGTCGTTGCGCGGGTATGGCGAGTGCAGCAGGGGTGTTGGGGAGGTGTCCGAGGTGAGCGTTGGTGACTCGGAGTAGCCGGACCGCGTCTCGTGTCTGTCACGATCACGCGCCTACGTGACATGCCTCCGAGTACAGTACTATCGACGTCTGGTAAACTCTACCGGCTTATACCAGACCTCGCCCAATTTGCCGATGACAATGCGCGCATATATAGTCCTGTTTTATGGCTGACTAGGGTGCATTCAGTTCGCCTACGCCGCTGACGGGAGGATCGCCAATACGCACCGACCCAGGAGTTTCTTGGACTACAATTGTAGTTTCAGGTGCGGCGCAGAGGGAAGGTATCGGCCGTTGGGACTTGGGATAAAGACGTACGTTTCCTGGTTTACGATCACCCATCTTTGACTCTAACTTTTCAAACACTCACAGCAATTTCGTGTATGTGATCCTGCAAAGAGATTTGTGCATATATCAGCTACACTTGCAAATACATCGATTCTACTTTGCGAGACTCCTATTCTCCCTCTTTCATGAATACCATCTACCTACGCTCTTGAACCAATGCTGACTAATGTTAAACAGACGGGAGGAAGCAACCTGAAGTGCGTCATGGAAAGATATTTTTCGACTCTTGTTATGATAATTGTGACTTGTACGCTGCACGCAAGAACCTTCATTCCAATTCCTTGTCCGTTCGCCTATGCTATCGCAGACACTTCGCCGACACCGAGATTTCCCTTTCGTCCTCTCAGCACAACCGTTCCCAGCTACGATCGCGATGATCGCGGACGCTTTGCGCAGTGAGCGATGTCTATGTGTACGTGCCAACCTCCGATTATGGCCGCTACACATTCCCTTGTCCCTGTTATGCAGCGATTGTATAGCAGATTACATGTGCGTTCTCTAACTACTGTAGTCCCTCCCCCTTAACATCTCATGGCTTCCCCGATTTCCCAGAACATCGGACTGCTCGACATCAAGAATTCCAAGCTTCTTCACAATGTCACTACCGCGTAGACCTTTCGTCATCTCAGCGTGCAACACGACGGCCCCCCGGACTGGTGTCTCAAAGCACACCTCCCTCGACTTCGTCTCAAAAAGATTTGGCCCTGAACGAGCACGAAGATTGACTAAGACACTCACATCTCCTCGTGCAAGGTGTTTCAGTTGCATGAGTTCATCTTCTCCAGTCAGTCTTCTCATGTGCAGACCACCTTTCAGGTCCCGGAGTATCGACAGAGGTCTGCCACGAAGCAAAGACAAGGGCGACAGTGTGTTCTGTATTTTCACCGCATGTTTCTCGGTTCATGTTCCCCTCGCTGACGCCAGATCCGCGACGAACGTTGCCTGTAGGGCTTCGTTGTTCAGTGCACTCACGCACGGTCGCGCCTAATATTGTATGCAACTCTTAGGGACCACTCAGTTAATTTCCGGAGTATCGGTTCTGACCTAGACGCCCTCGCAGGTGCGTAACCGATCCAGTGCCAGTCAGTGGTAATACCCGATGTCTCAGAGGTTCTTCCCCGAGTAGGTGTGTTGTTATATTCATTGGCATTTGCTCCCGCGGACAGCCTTGCGGTGTAGGTGTAGGCTGGTAAGGAGCTCGAGGAAGTTCGCGACAGAGCGTCCTGTGCTCCGGCTCTGCAGCGGTCCTCGTCCTCATGACAGGTCGACGGAGCGCGCACACGGCCTCTTTCAAATCCATGCAGATATGCGTGCGTCTATCTGCTGTTTGTCGTGATGGACCACTCATTTCCGATTCCAGTAGAATCGGTTAATTCCGATTTCACTAAATCGGGTTTTAACTGGTGATGGTGGACGTTTGCTTATGTAAGGATAGGAGGTCTGCCTCCTATCCGTGATGTTCGGGATTTGCCGACTGTTCGTGTTCGGTGTCGTTCTGTGCACTGCATATTCTTTCTAGCTAAATCTATGGACTTGTCTTACATGTCTGCTTTCTGGATAACAGTGTCGTTGTCGTTGGTGTTCTGTGCGGTTGTTTTGCCACTTATTGTTGATGTGCGAAAAGTGCATCAGTATCGTGCGGGGAACGTCTATCGCTGCCAGTGTGAGGGTGCCCGGTGATCTTGTCGCATGTTGGTTGCATTCATAGCATCCTTTCGCGTGGT